GGATGACTTCTTCTTGTCTCTCCTCTGTCAAGACCAAGGCAGTTCCTGTAAATTGGGGACAACCAGATGATGTGTAGGGGCACAGCACAAGAGCATGCTGAGGCCAAGTCCCCCCCTCTGTTCAGGTCATTACAGTACTGTAACAACTGTGCCGGATGGGGTGGGGACTTGGCTTCAGCTGGACGGAAGGGGCAGCTGCGCCACCACGCAACGTCTGGATGTCCCTGATTTCGGATGAGCAGGGAGGAGCTGGATTCCAGCAGTGAACTAGAGCAAAGGGGGTATGTCAAGTTCGATATTCCGACTGAGGAATCTACTACTGTACATGGGTATTTATGCTATGTAGGATAATGGACCATGATTATGTAATAGATAACTTAGCCGGGACAAGGAGAACAATGAAGGACAATGGGACAATGGCTGGGAGACACAATGGAGTGAGCCGGAAACATGGCTCGCCTCGGAAGTGCCTCAGAAGCGCATGGCTCATTCCCAGATGTCTCGGAAGTGTCCTGGAAGAGCACAGCTCATTACCACAAGCCTCAGAAGCTGGATACAGCCTCGGGAGCCAGGTAATTGTGCCAGGAGCCGGGGACGGGTTGTGACAGATGGACAGTACTTGAGTTTCAATAGAAAACATCCTTCAAAACCAATAGAAAGGTATTTCAGAATATTCTTATATTCATTCTTCAAGTGCTTCATTGAATAAAAAGACACCAGATATATTATTTGTGCCTCTGTAGAGGAGGAGTAGCACAGCAAGATTTGCTTATAGCAGGGGCAAAACAGACTCTCTTGCTCTAATTTTTTGTGTACATGTAGATACATAGATAGTGCATGTAGTCTCAATTTTTTTTATAAAGATACATCCAATATCACCAGAGATATAGATGTGCGCATTTTTCTTATTGAGCAAAGTCAAGAACATCACATTCTGTATGCAAATGGTGACCAAACTGGCTGAAACTTGGTACACATTATCACATGTATGTATACTATTGGGTCCCAGAGTATAAATGCAATGGACATAGCAATTATGGAGATATTGCATGCAGAAACCCAGAAACTGCAAACACTTTACAGGGATATTGTGAATTACATAGAAAGAATGCATTTATAAGAAAAATAAATGCCATAACCAGAATGGGCATAAAAATGCAGTTCTGACAGTATATAATATGTAGGTAATTGGACCTGATAAAGATGTGCTACTACACATAGCACCAACTTCAGGTGATTTATCACTGAAGCATACTGTGTGCTCAGCACAGCCACTGCTGAGCACTTTGTCAAGGGTCAAGATGAAATTCCTCAGCAACCACTTGATCAATTGCCACAAAAATTTGCACACTTTCAGATACTATACTGTAGATGACCGGCATCTCGGTCACTCTACAGTCTCCTAAAATTTGCGTGCTTGGTTTGGGGGTGTCAAAAAAACTAACAGTACTACTCAATAGGCAAGCATCTGAAGTACCTTTGTACCAATTATCAGAAATTTAAGGGAGGGTTTGAGACCTCCACAAATATTTTATTTCGATAGGTCAAAATCGGTCAAAACCAGGAAGTTGGCCAGGCCCCGAGACTAGACCGATTTGTATTGGTCCCATACACCGGTTGTAACCAGGGTCAGTTATGCTTAGTAAGCTGATGATAAGATAACCTCAGAATATGAGGACAGTACTCGGCCACCTTGAATTACTCTTCAAAGTTGGTCTGACCTTAACGAAAAAATGCTTCCAGTGAAATTTAGACACCTCTATCATATTCTGGTCTTCTTATTTTGTGATTTCTGATGTTTTCCTTTCAGTTATTTAATTTGACATTTCTCATCACTCAAAACAAGAATTTTCAATTGCTTGGTGTCTTATGTTTGGAAGAAAATTGTAAAAATTAAGGGGTCTTCTTTCATGCACACATATTCACCTCAAAATTCATTTCACCTCTTTGTTTACACAATGGATGCTTTATACTAAGAGAAATCAGCAGGAACAGTCCAATCCACCTCCAAAATGACACACTCTCCAATTTTCAAGGTCGGAAGTGCAGCAATCCTTCAACATAAGAGAAACTTGCTTAATTATATAGTAGTCACTATGAAATTCTTAAGTCTGAAGTATCTTCCTGGCAGTGTGTCATGTCATCAAGAAAAGCCCTCTGGGACCACCAGAAACATGGTATCAAATAAGGAAATTGGGTGTCACATGTCACCAGACACAAAGGGAGGCTCGTTTCTCTGTGAGGAATGGTGCTCTGTCTGCCAAAAAATGCAGTTACATTGCTCTGATACTATTATACATGAGTGCACAAAAAGAACAGAGTGAAACGAGCAACTGTGCCATCTACAAAGGCAATGTCCGAGTAGCTGATGTGACCGAGTAACTGGTTACGTGCAGTATATGCGAATGCACTCGCAAAATTTCAGACAGTCTCCTGAAGAAATGACCAAGATATTAGTGTTGCGCTTTCTCAAAAACCCGCATTGAGATACCTCAACCAATAATAGTGTGGAAAGCTCATAAGCTGGAATCCATTAACAAGAATATCAAAGGTACTTGCACACCAAATTTCAGTCCAATAGCTCAAGCAGTTGTTGAGATATTGAGTCTTCAACTCTGGGTAAAGTATGCACACCGCACCCTCAGCACAGCCACTGGTAGGCACTTTTCCAAGGGTCAAGATGGAATTCCTCAGCAACTGCTCAACCAATCTTTATAAAATTTTACACACTACTAGGTACATTATAAGCAAAGGTGATCGCAAATTTTCAGACATTTTCACAATGAAATACCTGAGATATTAGTGTTGCGCTTTCTCAAAAACCCACATTGAAATATCTCAACCAATAATAGTGTGGAGAGCTCATAAGCCAGGATCCATTAACCAGAATACCTAAGGTACCTGCATGCAAAATTTCAGTCTGATAGCTTCAATGGTTGTTGAGATATTGAGCCTCCAACTGCTGGACGCTTTTCCAAAGGTCAAGATAGAATTCCTCTTCAACTGCTCAACCAATCTCCATGAAAATTTCCACACTGCTAGAAAAAGTATAGGCACAGGCAATTGCAAAATTTTACACATTTTCACAGTGAATTAACCAAGATACTAGGGGTGCACTTTTTCAAAAATCTGCATTTGAATATCTCAACGCATAATAAAGCGAGAGCTTTATAAGCCAGGATTCATTAACAAGGATGCTAGAAGTACTTGCCTGAAAATTTCCAGCTTGATAGCTTAAGCGGTTGTTGAGATATGAACCTCCAACTGCAGGTGAGCTATGGCACACTGCACTCAGCACAGCCACTGCTGGGTGCTTTTCCAAGGGTCAAGATGGAATTCCTCTGCAACTGCTTAACCAATCTTCATGAAAATTTACACAGTGCTAGATACATTATATGCGAAGGTGACTGCAAATTTTCAAACATTTTTGCATCAAATCACCTGAGATATTAGGGTTGCGCTTTTTCAAAAACCCGCATTTGGATATCTCAACAAATAATAGAGCAGAAGCTTCACAAGCTGAGATCCATTAACAAGGATACCAGAGGTACTTGCACAAAAAATTTAAGCTTTATAGCTTAAATGGTTGCTGAGATATTGAGCCTACACTGTGAGGAAGTGCATCATTTTCAAGCTCTAAGTCATTTCAAACTCAGACAGGCTGAGCGCTCATACAGGAGGTGGAAGCTGAATATCTCAAGAACTGCTACAGCTATGGACATAAAAATTTACAGGCATTTACAATACATACTATTGATAATTTCTGCAAAGTTATATGTTATTTGATCAAATATTTACTGAGATATTAGAGGTACACCTTTTCAAAACTGTGCAGACATAATATAAAAATTTGAAATTTTGGAATATCATTCATTCATATCATGAGATCACTGGTACAAATTTTGAGAAGCATAGCTGATATATTTCTTGCAGTATTCAGCTGGGGAGAATGGTCACATCTGTGCCATGCATGGCACAGAATCATCACAATGAGTTGTGCGTCGCACAATCAACAAAGTCACATGATGGTCATGGCACATTGTTTGGTTGTCATAGCTCCACCAAACAAAGTGTGCAGCAAGTGTCGTCAAACCTGCCAGCACTGTACTTGCGCAACTCTTCCCATTCCCTTACCTCACCCACTTTCAAACACACCATCTTCTCTCTTCAAAGGTATGTTTTCTTTCACATATTTAATGATCTTCTTGATACTAAATACCCATATTTCCCCTTCACAGTGCGTCTCTCCTGCCAGCACATACTCACATAGCCCCCAGTTCATGGTCTCAACAACAGGTATGTACTTATTTCTTTTTTATTCAATGACTAGATTCTCATGAACATATTCCAGAACATGGTGCAGGACAAGAAGAGAATTGAAGGAGTGGCAATGCAAGAATTGGGAAAGTGAGAATTTGGGAGTCAGGTGGCAGTGTGATGGGTACCAGAGTGAGTCATAATATTTTTTTTGTCTTCATCCTACTGACTATATATCTAGATTATGATATCTTCTTTCTATGCTATGGGTGAGTGCATATTTCAGTAGAAGGGAATTGTATTATAGCATACAGTACTAGTATTAATGTAATCTGTTCAATGTACATTAGATACAGAAATATAATTGAGTCTTCTTTCAATACATGAAGTGTGAACAGAATAAAAAAATAAAACATCCTGAATAACATCTACTATAGTCTTAGCCTGTCCTCTGAGCATCTTGAGGACACCCTGAGGACGCTCTAAGATTTTACATCTAGGAATGTAGGCTTCAGGAGCCTTACTGTCCTTGATGTCTTAGATGTCTCAGATTGTCCTCAAGACAACCTAAGACAAAAAGGTTTTTCCTGATGCAAGGTGTCTTGAGGCCAACAAGCCAGAGGCATGCCTGCCTGAGACCAGACACAGAAGGTTAGCGGCGCCACAACCCACTCTGAGAGTGGGCCACAAGCACAAAGAAGTAGTTGCGGGCGCAGGTCTCTGAACCCTAAGGTTTGAGGGTGTCAATTCACCGATAAATCCCCTGAAAGGAGGAATAACCCTGCCCACAGTGATTTTCCGACACCTGAAGGGTCCTGGTTGAAGCCAAACACCATAGGGTTGTGCTTCATAAATGATGCAATATCCCCATTTTCTCGGGGATAATGTACAGAGTATCTATCACAGCAGCGAAAGAGGATGTGCTGGCGAGACTGCAAGGCAGCCCCGCAAGTGCAGCTGTGAGGCTCATTGATCTTGAAGTGACAATAGTACACTCCAATGGGCACATGGCCAGTTATACACCAGCAGACGCGAGCAAACTCAGTGATACTGTGTTTGAAGGTTAAAATCCAAGGTCCCCCATTGAGGTACGATGGCTGAATCGGCTGCCCGTCAGGCCATTGAAGCTCTAAGAATTCAGAGCCCCAATAAGTTGGATCCTGGAAAGTGGAACTCCATGAATCCAGGACTGAATGCGCAGCTCGAGAGCGCAGCATGTCTATAGAATTGTCTGTCTTGCGACACCCAACCCTGACTTTGAGTTCGGTGACATACTTGTGCACTTGGTTCTGGTGCTCACATGAACATGTAGGTTGAGGCTCTTGATACACCAATGCAATAGCCACTGAGTTATTAAACTCTGTCCATGTTGTTGTAGAAGAGGAAAGTGCAGAAGGCCCTGGATCTATAGTTCAAGTTAGATGATACAAGTATTCAAAAGAGATTCAAAATTTTACCTAGTTTGCACTCTGAGTTATATATCTCAAGAGGAGCAGTTAAAATGAGAAGAGAGAGCAGAAGTGTTGAAAGCATTAGTGGGATGCTGAGGTACAAGAGCAAGTCTTGAAAGTTGCCAAATGAAATCAAAACTCAAGTTCAACATGTCATGTGACTGTGTTCTGATGCTATTTCTGAGGTCTTTACACTCCCCCACGTATCCCTATAGGGCTCCAGTAGACTCCAGTAGAGTCTGGTAGAACTCTATTAGCAGGAACACCAGCCAAAAGTGCCTACTGGACTCCACTGGAGTCACCACCCAAAGTCTACTGGAGTTCACTGGAGTCTACTGGAGTGGAATGTCTATCTTCCACTGGGCTCCTATAGGGCTTCAGTGGAGTCCAGTGAACAATGCAGAGAGATGTCATAGTCATAGAAGAGCAATGTAACTGATGTCAAGGTTGATGGCCAGTCATGTGACTTTTTATTTGCCTATTCCTTCAGGGTCAGCTTCTGAAACTTTGATGTTATGGCCTCAGATAGAAACAATTAATAGATATATGACTGCTAGGCCCAGACTTGGCTTTGATAAAAAGTAATAAAGCCATCAACTTTGCTGATGACATTAATATCAGAGTCACATGTAACAAATTGGATTTTGCAAAAATGTGCTCTATCTACACAGGGACTAGGGGTGCTAACAATATGAAATATGCAGGTCACATGACTGTGAGAAATTTCCTTTTTAAGAGAAAATAATTGCAATAAATGATGATCCTGAATCCACTTGAGTGATAGTATTTGGCTCTATTAATGACAAGATATAAGCCAAAATTTGCAAATGTCAGGTCCAACATCTCCATGACCATGCCCTCCAATGAGGGTTATGGAAGAGCTGGATAAAGAGAAGGACCACAAGAGAGACCCAAGCAGTGGGAGACCCAGCATAGTGTGTCACTGGCTCTAATCCCTCCTTCTATTACTTACTCCACCCCACTAGTTCATCATCATGTTGTGCGACTTGATGACAGCCTCCACAAGTCAACAACAACCACCTCTGTGACTCAACAATGGTGTTCTCTCATTCGTACTCATGACTTGGCCTTTGCTTCCTGGAACATGTATTTCACATCTTTATTCTTAATATATATCTATTCTATTTCATGATGTTCTGAAAGTGAACTTTTTTAGAGGATGAGAGCTTTGGCATCATTTGTTGTCGTCGGGGCTCTTCAGGGGCCATTTGGATCTGTGAAGAATGTTGGAGGGGCAAGAAGAGGGGGGGTGGTGGCAGAAGGCAAGAGGTGGGCAGTGCTGGGTGGGCAGGCAGGTGGGCAGGGCACAGAACGAGCATGAACGCTGCCAAACTTCTCTATTTGGCATTGTTCATCATCTTTGGGTGCTGTTTGGGCAGGCAAGGGGCATCAGAGAGGTGAGAGGAGGGGGTGGCAGCGGCGGAAGTTGAGAGAGAGGGGGAAGGGCAAGAAGGGGTAGGTGGGGCACAGAATGACCAAATGCTGCTGAACGTCCAAGTTTGGTGCCGTTCATTGTCCTGGGTGGCCGTTTGTGTGGGCAAGGGGTGTTTGAAGGGTGAGAAGGGGCAGTGGTGGGGGTGGAAGGTGAGAGGCAGGCGGTGCTGGATGGGCAGGTGAGTGGGGCACAGAATGAGCACGAGCGATGCTGAACCTCTGTGTTTGGCATTGTTCAGTGTCCTTGAGGGCTGTTTGGATGGGCAACAGATGTTGGAGGGGCAAGAGGAGGGGGTAGTGGTGGCAGAAGGCAAGAGGCAGGCAGTGCTAGATGCAGATAGGGAAGCTGTTGAGGTGGGACAATGACCACAGCTGAGAGGTGATTGCACAGGAACAAGGACCACAAAGCTAAGTGAGCTGATGCCTAATATATGCAGTATGTATCTACATAGAGCTGAAACCTAATATACATGCATAATACATTGCAGAGCTGAGCGCTACTGTGGGCCTAAGAATCACTGGCGTTTGAGGCTGATGGGGCGCCAGAGCCAGATGCAGAAGAGGCATTGGTGGCGGCAGCCAAGGTGTCGTGGAGTCTTGCACGGAACCAATCAAGGCGAGCATCGATATGCAAGAGATCCTGGTTGTGGATGCTGGTGAGCTCCATCAGCTCTTTGGTGCGTCTGATAGTCCAATTGCAGTTTGTAACATAGCGCTCTGGCGTTGATTCAATACCTGGGATGTCCCAGATGAGCACCCGGTGCAAGAAAATGATCTCCTCCTGCTTAATGTGCTGCTATAGTGTCAGAACAGTGGACTAGGGGTGGCAGCAGTGACTGACCAGAATTAGTAATGGCAGCAGAGGGTTGGCTCAGGGTGGGGGGGCATGATGAGGTACACCAAAGCGTCACTCGATGGTGTGGCCTTCAAACAAGGCACGCACATATGCCAGATCGATGGAGGGGTAGTGAATGTAGCCCCTGAAGACGTCACAGGGACTGAGGTGGAGGGGGGAAGGGGATGGTGGGGGGGAGGGGGTAGAGTCAAGTTCAATGACGGTGCCGCAAGCATGGGCTGGTACAAGAAAACGATTGGCGCCTTGTTCGAAATCTGGTTCTGGGTCTTCCTCTGCCTCCTCACTTCCACTGTGTGCTGCATCATGCTGGTGGATGTAAATTTCCATAAATTCCTGCTTGACATGAGTGGGGGGAGGTAGATTGGTTTGTTCATCCTCATGGTCGTTGTCTGGCTCATCTTCATCGCTGTCCCATTCCTCTGCCTCTGCTGTGTAATTGTCATCGTCGTCCATGTTGTGCTGGGCAAACATTGTTCAAGGCGCATTGTCAATGACCATTGAATCAGGGGAGGGGCCAGCAAGGGCGTCGGGCGCTTGCTTGCTTCCTGAACTTGCTGGCAAATTTCAGCAAAATACTCAGGACCAGGTTGAGGATGCAGAGGCCTTCCCAGTTCCACAATCAAGTGGTTGATGGCAGCTCGCTGTGCTGGTGGAGAAGGCGGTAGCGGGTTGAGCTGTCGTGCAGGGAGGGAGACATCAGCACCAGCAAACAGCAGTGCAGTGAGAATGGCGGCAGTGCCAGATGAAGAGGAACTGGCGACAGGAGGTGCAGGAGGGGCAGATCGAGAGATATCTCCTAGCTGCATCCACAAGAGTAATCCAGCACAGTCAGTATCAGGCAAGGCCATTGAATTTTTGCTCGAAAGGAGGTCATCAGTAGTGGCGGCAGAGCCCACTGAAGACACCTAGACAGCCTGTGTTGCACTAGTACTGACCACTACTTATCATAAGATACAGGTACTTGCCTGCACTGCTTCTGACACAGTACTGGGGTAATTAATGAGGAGTTTGCATTTCTCATTATTGACATAACTTCTCATTCCGAGCCATGGCTTGTAAGTCTTTTCATTCTTTGGTTTGCTTTTCATTACTGTGCCCCTTCTCATATCTTAAGAGTTATCATATCACACAGTGCACTTCTCATATCTCAACGCAGTTTTCATTCCCACACTTCTCATTGCAGTGCATTTTTCAATCTTGCTGACTTCTCATATCATGGCACATTTTTCATTCTCATCCATACTTCTCATTGCCCTGCACACTTCTCATCACCCACTGACCTTCTCATATCATGGTATTCTTCTCATTTCGTGGTGCTGCTTCTTGGTTTGATGTGTATTCCCCATTAGGAAAGTGCATCACATAAGGGCTTGGCTGGCAGTATTGCTGGGGTATTTCGGTCATTTCCGGGCCGATTTTGTTGAAATAAAAAATACCATAAATCGTAGAATAATCGTGGCATTCCGTAGATACCTTACACATGACAGTGTGTCCATTTTTGGCAGCTGCACAGCCAAATTAATGCCCTGCACTTCGAAAATGCGAAATTGCAGCCTCACTGGGCCCCCTCCTATGCATCCCCTGATAGAAACAGGTGAGCGTTTATAAAAAGGCATATAATGGAGTCCTATATACCACAAAATATCTGCAATACCTGCAGAAATGCTCACATAATTGCCTAACCAATGCAATTCGCTAAAAATAGCCAAAATGCGCACCCAAATCTCTACCCATGGCAGGGACTGGACCACCGGGACACCTTAGCGGTTCAATAGGGGATATGTAAGGCTTCCTGGGGATATATTTTGTATGGCCCCGTGTGCATTATTCTTGGCTGTACGCTTGAATTACTGATTTTCGTTCAAAAACAGGAAAATGCGCCCCTCAATCCCTCCCCAGAATCCCTGTTTCGCACCATAATATCTACCCATATACCCTACTACAGAGTACCTCTACCACTTCAGGTCCTACCCTCAGTTATATTCCACTTACAGCTTGTGTCATTCCCCTCTCCTCCTCCTCCCCCTCAAAAAGCAAAAATGTGCACTGAATGTTCTCCTCTCCTGCACTTCATGGCATCCTGATACATATGCAGCGTTGTTTAATAGCTAATAAGGTACTCATGTGTATGACGATGCCCTGAAATATTGAAATCTGCAATTGCAGGACATGTCTTCCTGTTTTCCTTGGTTCCCTCTTAATGTTTCCTCTGTCCTGGCCTCAATTCTGGTCCGATTCTCATGAAAACATGTTCCCCATACTCAGGAAGAAAGGTATTTTAAATATAGATACCCCCAAGAACGCATTTCAGACCACTTAGATAACAGCAAAATCACACTGATTGGCCATTTCAGAAAGATCAGAGACATAATTAGTTAATCAGACACTGCAGACAGCCTCTACATATGTGCCTTAAAATTCCTCAAAATGTTTGAGGATGATAGAGTGAATGTGGAAGGCAGGACACTCAAAAATGTGCTGGGGAGAGACCATTGATCAACATTCTGGATGAAGCTACTTATTTGTCTTAACCATGTCTTTGGATACCCTTTCTGATAGATCTTCTATACCTCTGGGGGACTATGGTATTTCAAAAGTATCATATATTCCCTGTCTAAGACACATTTTATCATGATTTTAGAAGCAGCAAGTGGACCTGAATTCAAGGGGAAGTGTCTGTGTTCCCAAAATTGGCTGGGACAAGGACAAATCTGTTCATAGAATATTCATTTCTGAGTGTAAATTGTTTGGACCTTTTTGAGCAGACTAAATAGCCTTCTGGGAACATATTCCGGGTACTAACATGAGGATAGGTAAGGTACAGACCATGCCAGTGTGATGCCATTGTGCCCATCAATAAATCCGGAAATTTCCGAAAGTAGGGAAAGCGGACCTGTTCCAGAGGCATTGGTGCCCTCCTTGCTTGAATGGAAGGCTGAGAAGTGGGATAGGAGATTGAATGGACCACTAGAGGAGTCAGGTGTATAATTATTAGTCCAGACCAGTAGGATAATGGTCAGAATACTGCTCTGATAGATGTCAGGAGGAAGGACTGATTAATTTCATCTCCCATGTGGCAAATAAGCAGATTACACTGGATAATAAGAGGGAATAGTACTAGATACAACCATTGTGTTGTTCCAGCAACAGGTGATTGCAATTGAATCATCCGGGGAGGGATTGAGGGGCGCATTTTCCTGTTTTTGAACGAAAATCAGTAATTCAAGCGTACAGCCAAGAATAATGCACACGGGGCCATACAAAATATATCCCCAGGAAGCCTTACATATCCCCTATTGAACCGCTAAGGTGTCCCGGTGGTCCAGTCCCTGCCATGGGTAGAGATTTGGGTGCGCATTTTGGCTATTTTTAGCGAATTGCATTGGTTAGGCAATTATGTGAGCATTTCTGCAGGTATTGCAGATATTTTGTGGTATATAGGACTCCATTATATGCCTTTTTATAAACACTCACCTGTTTCTATCAGGGGATGCATAGGAGGGGGCCCAGTGAGGCTGCATTTTCACATTTTCGAAGTGCAGGGCATTAATTTGGCTGTGCAGCTGCCAAAAATGGACACACTGTCATGTGTAAGGTATCTACGGAATGCCACGATTATTCTACGATTTATGGTATTTTTTATTTCAACAAAATCGGCCCGGAAATGACCGAAATACCCCAGCAATACTGCCAGCCAAGCCCTTATGTGATGCACTTTCCTAATGGGGAATACACATCAAACCAAGAAGCAGCACCACGAAATGAGAAGAATACCATGATATGAGAAGGTCAGTGGGTGATGAGAAGTGTGCAGGGCAATGAGAAGTATGGATGAGAATGAAAAATGTGCCATGATATGAGAAGTCAGCAAGATTGAAAAATGCACTGCAATGAGAAGTGTGGGAATGAAAACTGCGTTGAGATATGAGAAGTGCACTGTGTGATATGATAACTCTTAAGATATGAGAAGGGGCACAGTAATGAAAAGCAAACCAAAGAATGAAAAGACTTACAAGCCATGGCTCGGAATGAGAAGTTATGTCAATAATGAGAAATGCAAACTCCTCATTAATTACCCCAGTACTGTGTCAGAAGCAGTGCAGGCAAGTACCTGTATCTTATGATAAGTATGGCAGACACCAGTCTATCTACACATTTACGTTTATGTATAGAGCAATATCCGATTATTATTTTGTGGTTGGGTGAGTTGTGTGTGAGCACACAGACATCCTGTTCCTTGAAAGATGGAAGATGGGGCTCGGACCGAAGGGTCAACAGCCAATTGGACAGGTATGGCAATGGCCAAAAAACAATCAACGATGGTTGAGCCATTGTTGATCACTGTCCTCGTTGACCATCTCCTGCTTCCACCACCTCTCCATTGGCTATCCAGCCCTGAAAATGCGTCAAAAAGGTATGTAAAGTACTTTTCATCGTTTTCATTGACTAATTAACGTGTTTTGCACAGTCAGAGCCCACCTGAGTCGCAGATGACATGGCCCTCCATGCGACCCCTGCCGTGCGCCCCTCCCCTTCTCTAGGGATGTGGGCCAGCCCACCCTCCTCCTCCAACTCTCCCTTGCCATCAAGCTATCGACACCCCCATCTCAGATTTTAGCCCCACCAGGGGCTGCTTGGACCCTCGACTGCCCACACCAACTGGCCGCCCTCTCGACCTCTCACCCTCACCCTCTCAACCTCGTCTCTCATCACTCACCCTCTTTCCCTCTTGCCCTCTTGCCCTCTTGTCCTCTTGTCCCTCGCCCTCGCCCTCTCGAACTCTCACCCTCTCGACCTTGTCGCTCGTCGCTTGCCCTCTCGCCCCCCCCTCTCGCTTCTCTCCCTCTCTGCATCCTTCACCCACCCCTCCCCCTCAACAGGGATGTGGGTGCCAGAAGCGATGAATGACAGCATGGGTAGGGCAAGGGCGAGGGTGAGGGTGAGATGGACCGAGGGTGAGATGGACAAGAGGGCGAGGGTGAGGGCAGCACAAGCACAAGCACAAGGGGGTGTGGGCAGTTGGTGTAATGGCCATCAGCCTGACTGAGGGTTCATCACACACACCTGACATACCCTCTGCCAGCTACTCCAACACCTCATTGCCCTGAACAAGGCGACAACGAACACAACATGACGACAGAGCACAAGGACAATCACAAAGGACAATGGTGGGCTGAGGACAGCGGTATGCAGCACAAGCACGACAACAATGGCGACACAAACACAACAGCTTCATGAGCACAATGGCGGCGGCAACACGAGCACAATGGTGACGGCAACATGAACACGAACACAGCGGCGAAACGAGCACAAAGAAGACGGCGGCAGGTAGGGCCACGAGGATGGCCAGCAGGTCCCACGGGTGGTAACAGCATGCTCATGGCGTGCTGTTTCTGCTCTCTTTCTTTCTATCTCATAGCAGGTGGCTGGTAGAGCCACCCATGTAGTGTACTTATTTTATTCCAATTTAAAATGATTTTTTCTCCATTTTTTGGAGTGCTCTGAGTATGTCCGAGCTGAGTGAGTGGATGGTCAGAGACTGATGAAGAATCAGACATTGGATAACCCCAAGTGCCACTTACTCACAGCAACAGACAAGAAAACCATCATATTTCCTGACAAGGCCTTCAGATACCATGTCTTCAAAGCATCTTGCGGCACTGAGGACACCTGTGGTCATGTCCATGATTTGTGCCAGTGCATTCCCTGGAGTGGTGTAGAACTCGAGGACTACGCCAGGCAGTGGTACAAGGACATCTTGAAGACCATATGTAATAGACCCAGAAGAGTTTGGGTTTATTACAAGGAGAGTTATCTTCCTCGGCATTGTGAATCCCACTGGACATGTCAGTTTCTAAAAATAGATGACACCCGAAGAAATGCCGTGTCATCCAAACTACCCCCTCCCAATCCAGCCTATCCCGCCTGCCCAACAGTGGGGGAAATGGTGCACAATGATGGGGAAATATGTTTCCTCATCGGCAGCGCCTTTTTCCCATCGAAAACGGGGGCGGGAGCACCCCAAATGATGAGGAACAGTGTTTGGGCACTGTTTCTTGCATTGTTTGCATATGTTGACATGCCCCTGCCCACAGCTGCAAGCCCCGGCACATCTGGCAAGGCCACTCTCCATAGGTGGACTGTTCAACCACAGCCCTGATATACAAGGATACCTTGTTTAAATACAGGATCTGATATAGATTTCTAGCAGACATGGCTGAAGATTTGTCAAATCCAAAGTGTCCGAGGATGTCATGTGCAAGGCGGAATAGCATTTCGCGAAGGGCCTTGATCCAGGGTATAACAAGTCGGTTGTCAATGAACCACAGGCCATCTCTCGAGGTGATGTTCTTCATGCCTGGTGCAGCCTTTTCCAGGTTTGACATCCATGGGTCCTGCACATAGCCTGCACGTATGTTGCCCAGTAGTTTTTTGTCTGCTGAGATCTCAAGAACTGGCACCACTATACCAAAGTCAGTAGAAGCCATTGACTGGCATACCATAAAGACATGCACTGGGCATACCATGCACACAGCATCCAGATCCTCTGCACAATGCGCATATGGATGCACCACCCTAGTCTCTGCAGTCTTTGAAGCCATGATGTTTGGGTGCCTGGACAGCATGTCTGCAACCGTATTTCGGTCACCCTTGACATACACAAACTGCATGTCATACTAAGAGAGAAATTCCATCCAACGGGCCTGTCGACATGATAGGTCCTTCTGTCCCTGGAAGTTCATTAGTGTCTTGTGGTCCGTATACACCAAGAAAGGGACACCAATTAAGTCTGAGTGCCATTTGTGCAATGCACAGATGACTGCGAGCATTTCCTTTTCATGTACTGGGTAATTGAGCTGGGGGCCTTTGAAGGTGATGGAGTCGAATGTGACAGGGTGTGCTGTCTCCCAACTCATTCCAAATGAGAGCACTGCACCTGTTCCCAAGTTGCTGGCATCTGTTGTGACATAAATCTTGTTTTTGGGCATCTTGGCGTAGTCGATGGTGGTGAGACAATCGTGGCCAGCAACAACCTTCTTAATGGCATCGAAGGCCAGCTGATGCTCTGGCAACCACTGTGGTAGTTTCTTGTCAAAGTCCTTTGACATCAGCGGGTTGAGGACAGCTGTGTGCTGTGACAGGTTTGGGAGGAAGGCAGCCATGTAGCGAACAAGACCAAGGAATGAACGCACATCTGTAGCATTCTTGGAGACTGGCCAGCTGAGGATTTTCTCAGCCTTCTTGTTGCACGCTTCAATTCCACGGGCAGAGATCCTGTGTCCCAGGAAGTAGATCTCAGTACAGAATAGTTCTGTTTTCTTTGGGTTGCAATACAACTTGGCAGCACGTAGTGCCTCAAGCACCTCCTCGACACGTTGGATGTGCTCCGCCATGCTGTTCAACCAGATAATAATGTCATCAAGGTATATGTGGCAGATGTGGCCAAGCTGTGCACAGAGAGCATGGGTGACATGATGTTGGTGGATGGAAGGGGCATTCTGCAAGCCCATTGGCATGACCAGCCACTCGTATAAGCCAAAGGGAGTGTTGACTGCTGTCAGATGGACGTCGTCTGGGTCCATCGGTGTTTGGAAGAACAAATTAGTCATATCGAGCTTCACCCAGATCACGCCCTTCGCAGTCTGTCAGGATGTCATCTTGGTGTGGCAATGGGTGGCAGTCAGGCATGGTGTTCGCATTAAGGTCACAGTAGTCATTTACCCATCGTGGAAGCGCAGAGGGGTCAGCCTTTGGTATGATGAATGCCAGGCTTGCAAAGAAAGAAGAGAAGGGCCTGATCCGACCAGCATCTAAATGCTGTTTGATAAGGACTTGCCAAGCTTCTCGGTATTTTCTTGAATTGTTTTTTCTGCATCCTTTAGCTGTATGCAGGAGATGAAGTCTTTTGGGAGGTCATTGAAATGCGGGATAGGCTGAAATACATCCTTGTAATGGTCCTTCATGCTTGTGTCATGCTCCCACAGATCCGCTGCATTTGCAAGCACCTCAATGTGCTCTTTAACTGCTGCAATGATGTCAATGGGGCTAACCGCCTCAAAGGTCAGAGTCCCATTTGCGATCTTCTCCTGGCAAACTGTTACAAGTTCCACAAGAGCCTGCTTCTTATCAGCCTTTGTCTGTTCCACCAATTTACGCAGCTTTGGTTTTGGTGGTTGAGAAGGAGGTCTGGGTGTGGGGTGAAGAAGGTTATACCCCGTTTTCTTAACAATACAAGAACGGTTTGCAAAATCGGCAACAATGCCATTGTGTATTAACCATGGGAGGCCAAGAATTACAGACATGCAGAGGTTGTTGGCCACAAGGGCACGAACAGGTTTGGAAGTGAATTGTCCATCAAGAGAGGTAACCAAGAGGAAGACATAATTATGTAGAACAGCATTGAAGCATTTTTTTCCATTGTCATTGAGGGCCGTGTTTATGTGAAAAGGTTCATCAAGGGTGTGGATAGGTAGCGCAAGAGAGCAGACAAGGTCGGAGTGGATTAGGATGACGTGTGCGCCACAGTCAACAAGTGTGGAGATCTTTACTGGATAATCCCCCAAAGGGCCGTCAATGGTGTATTGCCACACAAAATGCTTAGCACAGATTGGAGCACTCACAACATCACCAAAGGAGGAGTCACCCGACTCCGACCTGTTGCTGAGGACACAAGAGGGGCCGACTGCAGCGACGAAACTACTATCAGAGTTGGACTTGGCCTCTGAAATGGAAGCAACCATCTTCCCTTTAGCGTCAGAGCCAGATGTGTTAGGCTTGTTTTTGGCAGGGTGACCAGCAGCATCCGCTGCCAGAGTTATGGTCTTGTAGCCATTGCCAGAGGGAAAGCTATTTGGGCATGCAAAGTTCCTGTGGCCCACGTTGAACTGATGGCACTTCAGGCACCCATCATGAGCAAGTAGGAGTGCGCGTTCAGCCTCGGTGAGCTTGGGAGGATTGGAACTATCAGTAGGTTGGGATGAGGAGGCTTGGGTGTTTGCATTGTGGCCTTTACCTGACAATGCCTGACGCTTGTTGCTTCTCTGGGACTTGGAAACATTCACTTCTATAAGCCATAAAAATATATCAGATACTGTATTTAAACAAAGTATGCTCATAAGTCAGGACTGTCAGTTTACAGTCAGTCTAACAAGGCAAATGAGATGATTAATAATTATTTATTTTTGGAAAAAAAGTATCTGGGTTCATGGAGCACCTTTGGGCAACTCTGAATCAAGTTGTTTGATGCCATCAGCTGCTCTGGTTGGCAAGAAAAATGCGAATTACTGAGAAAACGGGTTGCATTTTGCAATTTTTGGGATTGTTTGGCTTATATCTTGTCATTGCTGGAGCCAAATAGGCCATGCTGATGGTGGCAGGGTCACCTAGGCCTAGGTTTTCTATTTCAACCATTTCTTCTCAAAAAGGAAATTTCTCACAGTCATGTGACCTCTCAATTTCGCATTTCTGGCACCCCTAGTCCCTGTCTAGATATAGCAGAAGAGGACTTGAGCAAATTTTTGCAAAGTCCAACTTGTTATATGTGACTTTGATGTTGATGGCATCAGCAAACTTGATGGCTTTATTGCTCTTCATTAATGCCAAGTCTGGGTCTGGCAATCATCTATTTATTAATTGTTTCCTTTTGAGGCCATAATATCAAAGTTTCGGAGGCTGACTCTGAAGGAAAAGGCAATTAAAAAGTCACATGATCTACCATCAGTCTTGGCATCAGTTACATTTCTCTCCTATGACAATGATGTTCTAGGAGCATACTTGTAAAAATACAGCATCTGATACATTTTCATAGCTAGAGAAGGGGACTGTAAACTGACAGTCCTGACTTATAAGCATACTTTGTTTAAATACAGTGTCTGATATAGTTTTCTAGCTGACATGGCTGAAACATTCTCTAGGATGTCATCACAGATGTGTTTACGTTCACGGTGCATGCATTCATCAATGACATGGACACGCTCCAGCCATGCCTTCAAGCTCGTTGCCTCATGGACCTTGTCGTATTTGCAGGCTTGGCCAAGGTCAGTGTGCATGCCTGCTTCAATCTGGAAACAAAGGGAGTCCTCCTTGAGATGAGAAGGGGTGTTGTGGAGAATGATGTTGTTGCAGATCATGCCCTGGGCAAAATCCTAGAAGCAATTGTTTTTGTTGCAGCGGCGGCTTCGAAGGTTGTTACAAAGACGCATCTCCCAGTCCTCTTCAAGGTAATTCTGTCTGAACTCTGACATGAACTCCTTGAAGGAGAGAGTAAGCAGGCAGGTGTAGTCACTGGCAATCCAATCCCAGATATGTATGTCCTTGAAGGCTCTGAGGATGTTCTTCACATGGTCAGTGTCTTCAATGCCACGCACGACAAGGTATTCCCCAAACGACATCTCAAGATGGTGGATGATGTGAGGGGTGACATCCCCAGGAGTAAGGATGGGGCAGTGCTTTGTGATGGTATGTTCGACCACGGCCATGGTGGAAGTATAGTGTGAGAACATGACAGAAAAGGGTGTATATGCACCAGTTTTGCTAATGTATGCATGCAAAGAGTGGTTGTATGCAGGCAGAAAGTCGTCGTTGGAGTCTGAGAGCGAAGTGCAAGGATGTGGGTGGACAGTGTTCAGCTGGAAAAGTGTCCTCAACAACTGAGTGACTGAGGCTGTGGCGTCCGATGAGGTGAGGGACGTGAGACTAGAAGAAGAGGATGCGGTGACAATGTGTTTGTGTGTGGTGCTGTTCACGGGCGTTTTGCTGCCCTTAGCAAGGCGAGAGGACTGTCGTGGTTTGCTGGAAGCTACAGTAGTCTGGAGGAAGAGTCAGATGGAGTCCCAAATGATGCGGAGGGTTGCACCCACGATCAGGGACAAAGAACACCAACGGCAGGTAGATGCTTATGAGAAGCAAAGATACGGCAGGGTCTAGAAGTGAGCGACATCAGTTGTGGACACACTGATTGAAGTTCAAAAAAAAGTGGGTCAGGAAACACTTAGGGGGAACGCAAGAGAACAGGATCAACGTGTGATTGAGTGAGGAGTCGACTCTATGAGTAAATGGAAGAAGATGGAAGAAGAGAAGGAAGAAAGGAATGCCGTCAATCTATGGGTGACTGCTACTTATATGGAAAACAAGTGTCCAAAACAAATAAACAAATACTTCCGTCTGTTGTAGTCCATGCACCAGGATTACAAATAGCCAGTGAAAATGTAGCTATGCCATCAATGTAATACTTACTGTGGGAAAAAAAGCATGGATGACCATAATGTGGGAAAGTAAAATGATCTCTGTGTCCCAGGTTGAAAGAACGAGTCTTACTTAAGTAAGAACTCATAATCATGTTCAGGATATTCACTCAGATTTTGCAGAGAAATGTCAATATCACTATAGTCCAAATGGTTTAGCTTGAGCCACTCTAGAGCTTCAGCTACATGGTTCCAACATACTAGAAGTGGCATGCATTCAATATCCTGCTTTGTAGGCTTGCATGGACCTGTGAATATAAACGCTAATACCTCATCAAGATCTGCAACTGGAGGAGGAAGAGTATTGTATATCTTGGGTGTTGGATTCTGGAAGGTAATAGTGTTAGCTCGCATTTTGTATCTACCAGAGGCAACTTTAACAATGCAGCGGTTGTGGTGCACTCAGGAAATGAGCAGTTTTTCAACATAGGTAAGACGTGACAGCACATAGGCACCTTTCCAATCCAGTAGCCATTTGCCAGTGCTGCAGGTGGTACTTTCCCTTTCTTAAGCAGTTTGCAACAGCCTTGGCATATGTGCTTACAGTCTGGATCGATAACCGGACCAGGAATGTCTTGAATTGGATCTGTTGTGGACTTTCCACTAATGGTAACCACTATTTATCATATCATAAAGGCAGTTGCCCTCCAGTTGATCTGTATAATACCATATAATTCTATGAGATGGTCTCATTATTTTTGCCCTTATATTTCATTGTAATTTCTGTCTAAAACAATTTCATAACTTGCCATTCATTTTCATTTCTGATCTGGCAATTTCATAACTACACCTCACTGATATTGACCATTTTCATTGCTTTCATTGATATTTCATTTCTTGCCTGTAGATTTCATTGCTATTTCATTCTTTGCCTACATATCTCATTGTTATTTCTTTAATTCTCTCTCATTTCCTATCATTCTTGCCTTGATTTCTATTTAGAGGTTGTTTCTCAATTTAGTCATAGTATTTGATGTTTTGGCTTAGCTCTTGGCTGTCTATTGGGGGGCCATCTCCTGTCTCTTTAGAGTACTTTTCATTTTGAGGCCACTTTTTGAGGGTTTCCAAGCTCAAGCATTCAGTTAGAGGCATGTTGAAATTATCAGTAGTATTACATAATCACATCAACTCAGCCTAGATAGGCACTTATGATAGTTATCAATGAAATATCTGTCTAGAAAGTTATGAGAGTGTCAATGAAAGGGACTCCAAACATCTCTTTGCGATTTTCATAACATCTTGCAATGAGATATCAATGAAATCAGAGCCTATTATTGATATCATTTCTTTGCCATGACAATGAAATTCTGTCTATGATAAAAATGATATTATTGCTGGCAGAAATGAGAATGAAAGATAGGGCAAATTAAATGAGACCATCTCATAAAACTCATGGTATTATACAGATGACCTACAGGGCAAGTGCTCTTATGATATGATAAAAGTGGCAGCCACCAGTCAACTTTCTTTCAAGATGTGTTATGTTAGGAAGGCAAAGTGGATTGAGCCATATCCAAGCATCTGCAAGTAATTTGAGCTGTTTTTTTTTTTTTTTTTTTTTTTTTTTTTTTTTTGATCAACAATTTATATAGCGGTGCTCGATGGCAGCCTGCTTGCTATCTACAGAGCATATACGCTACATGACCCGGGTACTAGGTTAACTACTAAAAGATGTCTGCCCCCCCAACCAAGGCCCTTCTGGTGTACACGTCAAAACTTCCCAGAGGGCAACCCACCTCACAAAAACAGTGCATTGGGATAAGGGGAGGAGACCATTGAGGCCTGCTAAACCCCAAAGTTGTCGAACACTGTTTGGGGGCCACGCAGCACAATGAAAATAAGAGCCGCACCACCTGGGAGGTGGCAAGGTGTCTTGAGGCTGACAAGCCAAAGATGCGCCTGCCCAAAACCAGATGCAGAAAGTTAGCAGTGTCATGCTCAACCATAATATGGAGAATGCCTGCATGCATGGGTCTCTGAACCCTAAGGTTCGAGGGTGTCAATTCACCAATAAATCCTCCAAAAGGAAGAATAACCCTGCCTGTAGTGATTACCTGACACCCAAAGGGTCCTGGTTGAAACCAAACACCATAGGGTTGTACTTCAGATAAGATGCAATATCTCCGAGAAAACAGGGATAGTGCGTAAAATATCTATCGCAGCAGTGAAAGAGGATGTGCTGGCAGGACTGCAAGACAGCCCCGCAAGTGCAGCCATGAGGCTCATTAATCTTGAAGCGACAGTAGTACGCTCCAATGGGCGCATGGCCAGTTATGCACTGGCAGACATGAGCAAACTCAGTAATACTGTGTCCGAAGTATGAAAGCCAAGGTCCCCCATTGAGGTACGATGGCTGAATTGACTGCCCGCCAGGCCGTTGAAGCTCTAATTTTGAGCTGTTTTATGGGTTTCAAAAGGCCACAAACTGTACAGCCTGCTTCAATAAATTTCTCTGGGCTGGTGTCAGTCACAAAGTCTGAAATTATGTGCTGCATCAAGGTATGCAAAGGAGGAGGAGGAGGAAACAAACCATGATCTCTATTTATACATCGTGGCTTCTCAGTTTTTTAAATATTTTTCTTCTTCTTTCTGTCACAATAATTCTGCTGGTGTTGGCTATTAGAGCAATTGGATGTTGATTTCCAAACTGAAACCAAGTCAAAACATTGCAGACCGCAGGTATGTTGTTTGATCTGCTTAAGAAATTCTGATCGCTTGTACCTTGGATTGCCTTGTATGTTATGGAGTTGAGCAATATTTTTGAGTTGATCTACATTGAGAAAAGATGAGATGAGTTGGAGAGGAATCCAGCAAATTAATGTACCATCATCAGACACTATTGATGTATGGTCTTTATAAGGTGTTTGAGTCACAAATGTGAATTTAGCACTAGAAGAAAACCTAGATAAGTGATCCTTAGAAAGTGCATAATTTTGAAGATTCTGGAGTGAAGCATACTTAATTCCTCCTGCACATTGATCAGGAACAGCTAAGCATTCAAATTCAGCTTTTTTTTATATTTTTTTTTTGATCAACAATTTATATAGCAGTGAAGAGGTAGCTGCGGGAGTGAGCCTACAAAGTGTCTAGAGTGACGACCTTGCAGATAACACAACTTATTGACTGGACTACTACCCAATCAATAATATTTGTAATTGATAAGGAGGGTGATGATTTACGGTATACAACTGAACGCGATGGAACCGTTGACTAACACAATAGTGACGCTATTTGAGGGACTTGATCACAAGTCAGATTGACTAGCAAACAAACTCTAACACCTGAGAACCCAGGGATGTACAATGGGGACAGTATTTGGTGTGGTGTGGGTTGTTTCTTATGATGGACTTGAACTGCTTGACTTAACACGACTAGAAACTCGAAAATGCCTTCAGACTTCGTTCTCTTGACTTGACTTCTAATGGCTCAATTGCCCTTGACTTAAACTTATCCCTTTGACTGACTTACAGTACACAGACCAACTTACAGTACTCAGGCACTTGGCTTAATGGTCCTTTGACCGACTTAGAAGCTTGTCGCGGAAAACTCGACTTCAAACACTCTTTGCTTGACTTGTCTCGTTCTCTCAATTTGCCCTGAACTCAACACACAAAGCTAATCACGCTGAACTGAAAATCAGATTCTGGGGGATAAAGATTGCTTGCTTAAACTAAACTATCCAAGGCTTTTTATACAAACGTGATTAGGGGTATCTGGTATCTAAGAGTCTGAGCCAAGTAATGTACCATGTGCTAGATATGCAAATTGAAACAAATCATGTGGTGTTTTATCGTGAGAACAGCATGGACCAACACCACCAGCACTAATCAGGCATTATCCCCGATGAGTAACTATGACCATTTTGGTTCTGTCCATCATTCTCAGAAGGCATCATGTGGTAACGAGACCGCTTCACTACTCTTGGTGAACCTTGGCTTGACTGACCATGATATCAGTCTTATCACAGTTAAATTATTCCGTGTGTGTGCATGGAAATCCCTGACTCATCCTCGAGACTTCACTTGGTTTGCCGTCTTGGCCAATTAGCGCTCTAACGCGATATTAACGTAAGGGTGTTGACCTTGATGGGCCGTTCCTTACTCTGGTGGAACGGTTTAACCCTCCAGTATGTTTCATAGCCCTTGGATTGTGACACTACATTCGCTTTTGTAATGCCAGATCACCCTTGTATCATGTTTAGTGCCTCTGCTTCTTTACTTGTTCGACTATGCTGGCTTCTCGTGCTTAGATGGTCTCGTAGACAAATTAATAGATTGTGCTTTGGTTTATGACTCTGTGGGGTATGGGTATACTTGTCTTTGGGTAATAGCATGTTAAGCACCATTGATAATCATGTCCCTAGTCGAAGGTGACACTTATAACAATTACTGGCTTTGCGTTCTTATCGCGACTAGGTGCTATCGCATCAGTTCAAGTCTTTGACCATTGAGTAACATTTCATATTATCTAAGTGGGTGGTACTCTAACCAAGGGAGGCCGCAAAATTGTAGGCTTGTATGGAGCATGGCTCCTCAGCGGTGCTTGATGGCAGCCTGCTCGCTATCTACAAACACGTATGCTATGCGGCCTGGGTACTAGGTTAACTACTAAAAGACGACCACCCCCCCAGCCAAGACCCTTTGGGCTCAAACACCTAAACTCCCCAGAGGGCAACCCACCTCGCGAAAATGGTGCATCGGGATAAGGGGAGGAGACCATTGAGGCCCCACTAAACCCCAAAGTTGTCAATCACTGTTTGGGGGCTGTGCAGCCCAAATGAGATAAGAACAGCACCACCTGGGAGGTGGCAGGGTGTCTTGAGGCCGACAAGCCAGAGAAGTGCCTGCCTGAAACCAGATGCAGAGAGTTAGTGGCACTGCAACCCGCTATGTTAGCGGGCCACAAGTGCAAATGAATGGAGCAGGCACAGGTCTTCGAACCCTAGGGCTTGGTAGTGTCAATTCACCAATAAATCCCCCAAAAGGAGGAACAACCCTGCCCACAATGACTATCCGACACCTGAAGGGTCCCAGTTGAAGCTAAATGCTGTAGGGTTGTGCTTCAAAAATGCAGCAATATTCCTGAGAAACAGGGGATAGTGTACAGAATATCTATCACAGCAGCGAAAGAGGATGTGCTGGCAAGACTGCAAAGCAGCCCCGCAAGTGCAGCCATGAGGCTCATTGATCTTGAAGTGACGGTAGTACGCTCCAATGGGTGTGTGGCCAGTTATACACCAGCAAATGCAAGCAAACTCACACCTCTTTCTCTCAAACACCCACTTGTAAACACATGCACACAACCTGCTCACCATCTCAATTGTTGTCCACCGCATTATCTACCAGTCAGACCACCCCGCCTGAACGTTCGCACAGCACAAGCAACTCATGTCTGACCTCCCACTGAGAGGTCGGGGCACAAGACCCCCTGGAATTCATTGCAGGGGCTCAGGCTCCACCCCACCAGCACCACCACCAACATCGGCTGGTAGCTCATCGTCCCTTGGTGGTGGCGCCTTGCCAATCTCGCCAGACCCTACCTCGACTAGGGCCACATACTCGATGATCATTCCGGCTCGATCCTGCCACACCACTTCTATAAGCTAGGTACATATATCAAACCCTGTGTTTAGCCAGTGTGACCTCACATGTCCAGACTGTGTTTGAGCAGTCAGGCTCTCTGAGGCTGCTGGGGTGAGTTTGCCGGAGATGCCAGGGCTATAAGGATTTGTTTGGGGGCAGGAGGGGGTAAATAAATGACCAAACAACCCTCCTGGGGGTGGGGCAGGGGTAGGGTAGGCCTGCAGGGGGTGGGAGGGGTGGGGAAAGCATGGGAAATCCATCCAAAACAGGCAGGGATGGTGGGGGATGCATGATAGGGGCTAGTGGGATGGCAGGGTGGGTTCTGGGTGCAGCAGGGGCCTAAAAATGGGTTGGGCGGGGCTAGATATGCATGCTAATAATTGTCATGGCCCCCACGGGGTGTGGGATGGGCTGGGGGAGCCAAAAACGCGAAAAATCCAGAGTCTTTTGCATTTTTAATACAAAACAATTGAATATCAAATTGAAAACTTAATATTTTGTTGTGAAACTTTGCAGACCTTTGTATCTATAGTGGAGGGTGCTTCATGAATATTTTGAGTATTTATTATGATTTATGGGGTGCGCCACACAGCCAGGAATAGTGTGCGTGGCAGGGTTTGATGCGCTTTGCCACATTTGGCAATAAAATGATGCCTGCACATCCGTGCATAATTCCGGCTCCCCCTCGCATTATTTCGCTTAGCTTTTGCTGAGTGAAATGTTGGGTACATTGATACCTTCCTGTAAACCCTTTGATCGCATGAAATGGGTAACAACTCGTTGAGATATGACAAACGCAATTTTAGCTACTATAATGCATGGTGCACCCATGCATCCTCAGGCACATTTAGGGCCATTTAGCTTGGCCAAGATTCATGGAATACATGTCTGGGAATAATAGTACCATTGATAAGGCCAGGGGGTGTCTGGGTGTAGTAGATCTGAGGGGGGGTATAGGTACATCAGGAGGGCAATATCCTACCTTCCGCTTTGGGAAGAGGGCACATAACAAGATATTTAATAATGATTTTTTTTGAGGAAAAAAGTATCTGGGCTCGTAGAGTACCTTTTCATGACCCTGAATCAAGTTATTTGATGCCATCAGCTGCTTTGGTTGGTGAGAAAAATGTGAATTACTGAAAAAATGGTTTGCATTTTGCAAATTTTAGCATTGTTTGGCTTATATCTTGTTGTTGATGGAGCCAAATAGGTCATGCTGATGGTGGCAGAGTTATCTAGGCCCAGGGTTTCAATTCCAACTGTTTCTTCCCAAAAAGGAAAATTTCCACAGTCATATGACCAACCAATTTTGCATTTCTGGCACCCCTAGTGTCTGTCTAGACATAGCAGAAGGGGACTTGAGCAAATTTTTGCAAAGTTCAATCTGTTACATGTGACTTTGATGTTGATGGCATCAGCAAACTTGATGGTTTTATTACTCTTCATCAATGCCAAAGTCTGGGCCTGGTAATCATGTATTTATTAATTGTTTCCATTTGAGGCCATAATATCAAAGTTTCAGAGGCTGACTCTGAAGGAAAAGACAATTAACAAGTCACATGACCTGCCATCAGTCTTGGCATCAGTCACATTTCACATGCTGGGCACTTGGTAACCCCTCCATGGTAATAGGAGAGCCTTCCCAAAATGGAAGGTAGGATATTGCCCTCCCAGACATAGACTTAGAGTTAGGAAACTACCAAGGATTCTAAAAAATTCTAGCTTACATGGCTGTCAGAGGTACCCCTCCTGACCTCACGAAGTTCTTCACTGAGTTAGCCGTTTGCATGGCCAATGGGTACCCCAGGGATGGCCATTCCATGTTGAAGGTCACCTCCATCGTCCGCGCCTGCGACAGTTTGTCATTGGTCACCCCTGCTGTTGCCAGCCTGTCCAACTTGGACATACTGTGCAACTTCATCTGCGAAAGCCTCCTGACAGGCACTCCATTCAAGATTGTGCTCCCGTTGTTGACATCTTTCATTAAGATCCTCGATGTTCCTTACTTTGACCCCAAAGAGTTGAAGATCACTCAGGAGGCGCTCAAGAAAGCCCTCTGTACCTTGGTTCACGCTGAGGTCTTTGCGTATCTGAGCACCAAGCCTTGGATCAACTGCAACTTGGTGCACTCAACATTGTGCACCATCTACTGCAACCTTTGGGACTCCCAGCAGGGAACCCATGCCAAGAAGGCCCTTGGCCAACCAATCTTCCTTGCTGGGTGGTCCTGCACAATCAGGCCCACTGCGCGACACACCAGGGTCCTGCTATGCCAGCGCTGCTGGAAGTGGGGCCACCCTACCATTGCCTGTTACATGATTGCTCGTGGACCATACAACCAGTATGTTCTTAGCCATGCCAACAACGAAGACGTATGTTGCTTTGTTGTTCTATCTACAAACAACATTCTAACACCACCCCTTCTGCTCTAGATAAGCACCTGCATGGGTTTTCAGGCCCTCACACAGGCAAATACCAAGTTGTCAAAGGGATTGAGGTTTACTGGTGTGAGCAGGGCATTTTGTGGGCAGTCTGAGATGGTGTTGCCAATGGGAGTGGGGAATCTGCAGAAGGGTGAAAGGTGTGTCATCTGTGCTTTTTACCTATGGCTCGTTTAATGACCCATTGCTGCAGGTATGCGAACATGGACTATACTTTTGGATCAGCCATTTGAGATTTCCTGGGGTTGTTGATCATCTTAATCAGCTATGATATTGCCTGTCAGTGGTTCGTGAATCTTGCAAAGAGAATGGAGGGGCATTGGCCCTCCAAAATTCACATTCTGGCGTCTGCAAAACTTATACCCACCATCCCAAAGCTTCACAAGCCCATGCACAAGGCAGCACACCACCAAGTTTTTTTGCTCAACCTCATTCACAGCATGGGCAAGTCAGATCTTGAAATGCCTGAGCAGGTGTGGTCTGCTCATAATGCTCTCAGAAATTCTACGAAGACTCAAGGGTCTGGGGCACAATCTGACAACATCAATAACCACATCGCAGTGTGGAATTGGATGAAATACATCAGCATCAGGCTCTATCTTGCATGTAAATTCTGCAATTGCCTTGCTGAGCACAACATCCAACGAGAGGGGCACCATGGCTTTTTGCAAATCGTAGCCTTGACGGAACCGCAAGTCCACAAAACTCTTGCTGAAGAGGAGGGGCATTGTCTGGCTGCTGGTGGTATCCTCCTGCATGCTACAAGTGCTGTATCCTTCGTGACACTGGCATTGGAGATTGAAGACATCCAGTAAGTAGCCGTTCGTGTCAAAACAATTGTTCTGACTAATTAGACCTCTAGATGATGAATTTGACGTCTAGCATGAGACATCACTTCCCAAGCCATGGCTTGACAGGAGGGTGGGCTCATCAAGCAGTGAAACCAGCTTTGTGTTCAGATTCAGGCTTGGGACCAGTTGGTGCCCATTTACTTGCCTGGTCTTCTTCAATACTGTGCTGACTTGCCTCATGAAGGTCATGTCAACAACGCCGAGAATGCTGAAGACATCCAGCTCTGGCTGCCTTCTCAAGTAGAGGGCTCAGCTCGAACACAAGTTTGCTGCAGCGGTCGTCTCACCGACATAGAGGAAAGGCTACAAAATGTGCAGTGCTCAGATGCGCTGGATGACATTTGAACCATTTTGACCATCAAGAGTCGAATGGTAGCATTCAAGAACAAGAATATCCATGGTCAAAGGGATGGTACACGGTCTCGCTCAGTCATCAACCGTGTCCACAAGCATGCTCAAGCTGCTGCCGAGAAGTATCAGGCAGCGCATCTAGCAAAAATGGCCCTTTTGGGCCCCTGCAAATGGGAAATGGAGCTTCAAGAGCTCCTTGATGCTGATGTACGTGGATATGAAGACCCTGACTGGCTGCAGCAGGGCTGCAGATGACGAGGTACCATAGAAGACAAATGTCTCGGTGTCTCAACCGACCACATTTGTGAACCCGACCAATCCGATGACTTCACCCTCTTCAATGAACCCCGAACACATCGCAATGGCATGGGCAAGACCAGGAGGATGCTCTTGTGGATCTGGACAGGGCGTTCTGCAGTTAACAAGTCCACCAAAGTGAACAACAATGTCCTTTGTGTTGAATGGGCAAAAAGCTGTGCATGAGCTGCCCGATGTGAAGAAGAGCTAGCTTTCCTCAAGAAGAAGGGCGAGTGGTGGCTGCAGCAACAGCAGCACTGTGGGGTGGGGAGGGACCTACAGGAGGCCCTCTCAGCATACACTGCATGTAATGACCTGAACAGAGGGGGGACTTGGCCTCAGCATGCTCTTGTGCTGTGCCCCTACACACCATCTGGTTGTCCCCAATTTACAGGAACTGTCTTGGTCTTAACAGAGGAGAGACAAGAAGAAGTCATCCTGGCCAAGGCCCAGGAGACAGAGGATGAACAATAGAGCAGAGGGGATGTCAAGGTTGAGATTCCAGCTGGAGAATCCAGTACACTACCTAGCTACTTATACTATTGAGAACAATGGAGAGATCTAGATTATGTAATGAATGCCAGCAGAACAATAACAGAGAACAATAAGAACAATAATGTATAGAATAATGAAGGAAGAGCCCATTGAGGAACCAGAACAATGAAAAATGGAACAATGGAACAATGGGTCCAGGAATAGGATGTAACACTGCAGAGCAGTCCTGCCTGCAGAAGACACTCACTGATCGTTTTCACATGCTGTGGAAGACAGCACTGCAGGAATCAGTCGAAAAAAAGGCCCCTGATGACGCCCTTCCAGAGATGAGAACCCAACACAGATCAGAGGATGTGGACAATGAGGATGTGGACAATCTTGACAAAGATGAGGACAAGGATGATGCACAGGAGGAGGGGGACAATGGTGCCATGATGTGAGGCTCCATGAGTTTCAAACATGTTTGGTGTGAGGCCCCCTTGTGAGTCGGTTTGTGTTGTATCTCCTTGACATTAGAATTCAGTCATTTGCCTCTCCATATGTCTTTACCAGCTGACAGTCTTTTACTAGCATATTGTATACTACATTTTTGGGAAAATATGACCTAATGACACAGGTACTTATGTTTGAAGCCTGTGCGACTGCCCTGCAAGGATGCATGCTGAAGTACACTGTGACGTTGGACTTGAGAGAGTCCTCTTTAGGGAATGAGCCCCTATTGGTTGCAACATCATCCAAAGTGACAGGCTCATGTCCAGCCTTTCCTATTCCTTAATCATAAGAATATTTTCCTCAACTTAGTTATTCCATGCATACATGAGAATGCTCACAGATGGTGGCAAGGGGGCATGGAAAGGGCAGGCAGCACATGAGCAGCCCAAGGACACTCCATCTGTGGTCTTCTCATGATGTCAGATGATCAATGGAACAAGGGGCTGTGCTCAGGCTGGCAGTAGAACCAGCCATTGCCAAGCATGGCTGAGCACGAAGGACAGGGAAGGATCTGGGAGCCAAATGCCCAGCCACATGGCAGCGTTTTCCAAGGTCTGGACCAAGACATGACGTAGTTTGATGGATGGAATGAAGGCTGTGCACTGCAACATCCATCAATCACAGTGGAAGTAATTCACGGTATTTTTAGAACATGTCCCACTGAAAAGGGAATAACATCCAAACCCCCCTCTTCCAATCCATCCTGTCCTGCCCCTGCTGACAAGTGCAAGCACCCATTATGGGTAGGAAAATATTCCTGAACCCCATTGCTGCTGTCCGTGTGTCCATAGCTGCCTCCGATGTTGAGTAGGGTCCTAATTACTGCCCGCCCATGGTAATGAGCAGTGTTTGGCCAATGTTTGGCCAGTGCTGTCCCTGCAAACAGTGTCCCACATCCCCTGGCACCAGGTGATGAGGCCTGGGGTGCGTTCTGAGATGGCAGGTTGTCAGTTGGGATATATAATATATGAGACTGGTAGGCTAGCTGATCTGGATTGATTATGAATTCTAGCCTCTATGGCTGTGAGACTTGAGTAGCTTGAGTGAGTGAAGAAGAGAGGTGCGATGCAAAACATGCCAGAACCTGGGATGAGTGCTTAATGTGTTAGAACTCCAGAGAAGCTGATATCTTGAACGATGTCATAAGCCCACGAAAATGACAAAATATAAGTATGAGGGATGAATTGATGATGACTTACAAGGGTGTCAAGGAGATACAAGATGAAATAGAGAGATAAGTGTGCAGGAGATAGACTGTCTGAGGTCTGGGTCAGGGCCGGCCCTCACCTATTTTGCTGGCCCTGACCCTGGCCCTCAAGGCCAGGGCCGACTTTCTCTGGCCTTTAAGGGGTCGGGCCAGGGCCGAACCTGGGCCAGCCCTACTATTTTCTGAAAGGTGTTTGCCTCGACATTTATGCACACTTTTTTTTTGGATAATAGAACATATATATATTTATATTTTGAATATGTTACATATACGTACGCTCTAATATATCTACAGATGTGCTACAGTGTATACAGGGCAGCAGCGTGTGCAAGGGGTTGCCAGCATGAAGGGTGGTGCACAGTGAGGGGGCAAGGAGGTGTAATGCAGCCAAATATGTCGTCTCAGGTGGGTGAGCACTGCAGGTGTGGTGTTGGGGTGGGCGAGGGGTTGTGGGCATGAAGGTGGGTGCATGACGAGGATGCAAAGTGTCATTGTGGGTGTGTGCAAGACGAGGGTGTGAGGTCGTGCGAGGTGGCAGTGTGGGCTGAGGGCGAATGCCCAAATAACACCAAACATGTTTGTTCAGTGTTGTTGGGAGTGGGCGACATCGGCAGAGGTGGTTGTGCTGGCGAAAGGGCAGGGCCCAGCAAGCTGGTCGGCCTCATCATGCTCGCGGGGTCTGTGGGGACTCACCTGTGCCATGCCCCCTGCACCTTTGCTTGTGCATCCTCATCACCACTGTGCTGTTGCTCGCGAAAGGGCGACGTTAACTTGGTGGTTGCGCTGACGGCGCTGGAATTGTTGTGCTTGCAGGGCTGGCCAGGTTGAAATCGAGTTGGGCAGATGGAAGGTGGTCGTGGGTACAACCGCTGGGGATCACGGTCGTGCACGATCACCAGGTGGGGAGGTGTCTGCATGCAGTTGAACGTGTGGTGAAGGAGGCCACACTAGGGGTTGGAATCACGGGTGCCAGCAGCGATGGCGGCAAGGGAGGGGGTGCAAATTGTCGACGACAGCAGGACCAGCGGCAATGGCAGGGGTGCAAGCTGTCAACAACAGTGGGTGAGTTGTTGATGACGGTTAGGGAAGTAGCAAGGGCAAGGGCGCAGCATGCACTGAGATGGCAGCAGTTGGGGTGCTGCAAACGACGGTGGGGGCTGCAGCAATGGTGGTGCTGTGATGATGGGGTGAGGGAGGGGAGGGGTGCGACGTACAAGTGGGGGTCATGCCTGTGCCCCTCATCCCATGTTGTCCTTACGTTTGCTGTTATTCCATGTTGCAATGATGTGGTGGGCAGGAGGATGTGGGAGATGACAATGTGGAGGTGGACAAGCTGTAAAGTGATGATGCAGCCTGACCAAATTGGGCTGAACCAGGTCAGCCCGGGTTTGACCTGAAGGCCAAGGGCCAGACAACGCTTGGCCCTGGCCCTCCCTAAAGGGGCCAGACCAACCAGCTGCCAGCCCTTGGCCCTGGCCCTCAGGGCCAGGCCAGGGCTGACCTGGGGCCAGAGGGCTGCAGACCGGACCTTAGACAGTCTAGCAGGAGATGGGTATCTGTGGCTAGTGGAGGTGATTCAGGATGCAGCTATGTGCACCCACTGGTCCAATCCAATAGTCCAAAGTTGTTTGATAGGCACTTGAATGCATTGGCTGTGGCATGCTATAAAGGCTCTCTAAAAATGCCCAAATGAGTTGGGTTTAAAAGATTACTACCCAACATCTCACCATGCCAAAGGCCCACACAGTCAGAGGGACCAATCAGCAAATTTAGGTGCCGAGGGAGGTTGCTTATGTTACCGGGTTGGACGACAGCTGTACACAGCCGTGTTTATTCCTGACCTGACCTGACAGTACATCCCTTTCCTGAATACCCGGCCAGTTCTCACTCATTTAAACCTGACCTCCAGCCATCCTTGGACAGCCATCACCATACCCAGCACGGTTGGCAGCCCTACTCCACACCCCCATGTTATTCATAACTGAATTCCATGGTTCACTCCTCACTAGCTTACCTACAGTCTGAAAGACTATGAAACAAATCTTATCAGTATGAATAGGGGTTTTAATCTTTAAGAGATCTCTTATGTTGATCCAGACCCCTACATGTTTTGCATAGCATGTACAAGTTGTAGAACACAATTGTTACTATCATTTCCACAAGAAGATCAACACACCTTCATACACAGCCCACCCAATGGCTGAGCTGAGGATCTTGCGAGAGAGGCGTAGTGATGCACCATCAAAGTAGCCTGCAACCCCACGTTGCTGAAGAATATGTCAGAATTAATGAGAATAAGACAATATGGCACACACCCTCCATATAGTTGCCACTGTTTTGAGAAAGCCATGATACCTCTCTTCAGAGCGAACCTGAATCTTTGTCTTGACCACATCAAAAGGGTGGGTGACAAGTGTGGCAATAGCACCTGCCGAGGCAGCTGATGCACCATGGATGAATGTTGATTTGGCACCAGAGGTTGGAGGGATGAGATGTGCTTAACAGAATGTCATATCAGCTTGAAGACTAGGGAACAAGGCATACATACAGGTCTCCCGTTTGATAGCCTCATAAAACACAATGAATAGACCAGCATACGGCGCATCGCGCAAGGAGGATGCGAGGAACCCACGCAGGAGTTCAGCAGGCCCCTGACGGGCGATGGACACCAGCGCACCTGAGAGGCTTTCGTACGCGTATACATTGCTCTATCAGTCAATGCGAGATTCAATCATGGGCGCAGCCAGGGAATTCAAGGTGCTTACTTCGTATCTAGCCTTCAACACGGAGAATGGATTTAATAGGAACCCAACCGCTACACGAGTCGTCGCGCCGGCCAGCAAATTACCCTGGCTTGTCAATGTTGGCAAAACAGAACCAGAACCATTTCCTTTATCCCCTGCCTTCTGGACACGTCCGAAGTACGTTGAACGTGCCAGGAATGCTCGAAGTTGTGTTACACCCGTCATGTACAGGGCGACGCCTGGGACGTTCCTGGAGGCAGTTAGAGAGGCAGGAAAGTGGTGAACACAGATCGGTGGGTAATACCTGACTAGAGAAGGTACGGTGCCCCTCCAAAGTCCTTTCAGACCGTTCTGTCGTACGATTTCCTTGGTTGTGCCCAGGAGAACCGAAGAGTGAGACCTGGAATCCAAAATAACGAGACCGAGTCTGCAAGGTAGGGGCACATAAAGAGCAAGGAAGACGCACCTCGGCATTCCTACCCGTCCATCCCCTTGCTGTAAACGCGTCTTGAGGAGGTCAACTACAAGTTAAACCAGAAGTCAACACGGTGATCAATTCTGCGAAAGGCCAACATGAAGCACACATGGCTGAAGGCATACGGTTGTCGCGAGACCTGAAAGTGCGCCTGTATTGCCGTCACTGTGAATATGTGCGATAGGTGAGAAGGGGGCCAAGGTCGAGGCTGACCTGAGAGCAATTGTTGCCCGACATCGCTCATAGAAAGTACCAGTGAGGATGAGCTGGCCTTCCTTGAGGTCGCACGCTCAAATATGCAAGCTGGAGAGTGTTACTTGAGGAGGCGAAGGAATGGAGAAAGATTGAGAAAGTCAGAGCCGGTCGTGTTACATCATGGGAAAGTTGGTCATCCGCCTTTGACTTCTGACCACCACCTCGATGGCCGCCATCCCCAGCCAAGCACGTTCAAAGACCCTCCGGGCGTGCCTTCTATGCTCAGTCATCCAAGCGCCGATCGACTTCAAGAAGAATGGGTGCCCGAACTGTGAGGAGGTACTCCAGGTGTGTGTCCAATTTTTATCAACGTTCATGCGCCGATTCATTGTTCCCCCCGTATTCTAGATGAAGAATAGTCCAGATCGAATCGCGTCATGCACGACCACCCAGTTTGACGGTGTCATTGCGGTCGTCGACCCCGACAATAGCTGGGTTGCACGGTGGCAGCGCACTGGTGCGTCTTCCGTCTCCCGCCTCGTGCCTGAGAACGTTCTCATATCGGGCCGCAGCTAAATATGTTCGAGGCATGTACGCCGTCCGGGTAACCGGTCGCATACCTGAAGAAGTGGAAGACGAGCTCACAAGTCGAGGCATCAAATACCGCCCGAGAGACCAGAACGACCAAGACTAATGTACGACTATGACTAATGTACTTCCTCTCTTCCTGGCGACTTTTCCCCAACACAATGCTTCCAGAGCATTGATGGAACGACATGGCTCTCGTCTCTTGATCTCTTCTGTGCAAGGCTCGTATGTCTACTCGCACTTACGTCGTAGTATCTGCTCAGCAGTACCTTAACAAAGGATCTTCGAACTCCTTACCCCCTTTTTTAGATTATCTACAAGGTCTATTAGAGTGGCGTGTAGCACGTAGCACGTCTACATAATGATTAGTCCAAATAGATATGACTACATGCGGCTCAGTAGGGCTCGAGGCCGAGCAATCCCTGGCAAGCGCCTTCCACGTCGACAACCTATAGAACTGTGCAGTCAGCTCTAGATTCACTTCAAGCAAAGGGCATACACGTACCTCCTTCGGCGCAGATACTGACAAGATAGTGGGATGTTCCTCCCCAACGAGAACATCGTCCTATTAAAGTTGAGTGCTGGTACAAGGCGACAGAACTCATTTACCTCTATCCTAACACCGATATTGTGAAAGTGCTTTGGGAATTTGGCTGTTGGTGGTACGTAGATGCCTACAATAGCCACAGTCAGTAAAGGAGCGGGATGGAGGCAGTTGGTCTCACCGGGTTCGATTGTAATAACCATCCCTTCCCGCAGTCTATAAGAGTGTCAGAAGCGCAAACCAAGTATGGGAAAGGACGTACGGTGCCGCCCTTTCGAAAAATGCCGACTCGTGCAAATCAACTCCTATTGGGTGACCCAAGTAATGGGGATACAACACCCTTTCCAAGTCACCCTCGCCTTTCAACTCGAACCCAATCCTATTCAGCTCGGCTCTCAGGAGTTCACAAGATTGCTTATGGAGCTCTTGAAGAGAGTAGCCCGAGGACTCCGTGCAGAGCTTGATCATCTCTTTTTGGGTGTAGAGGACAGCGGAGTAGATTTCTCGTTGGGCAGACGTGAAGGTGCCGGACGCGGGGAAAGTGCGCGTTATGTCGGAGGCATATCCACTGGAGAGAAGAATGAGTATCAAACGTGGGGGATCAGCTGTTCGGGTTCATACTTGTATTCGCATCCAGCGTCGATGAGAACAAGCTCGTCATTTCCAATTGTATGATTATTAGCTGTATAATGAAGGATAAGGGAATTAGGTCTGCGCCCAACATCAGTTTTGCTGGTTAGCTGGTCCAAAGAAAGGCGTACCCTGAGGCCACAACAGGAACATATGCCGGCCTCTGTGATCCTCCAAGGGTACACAGATACTCAAAGTGACCTGCCACGGCGCTCTCTGACATTCCCGGTTGCGTGAAGCGCATCGTCTGCTCGGTGTCCATGGTCATTGTTCAATAAATTCCTTGTAGAATGAGAACTATTGCCACCTTGGTATGGGCCTTCGCACTTATGTCCGCCGCAGCCTTCATGACCTCCCGCTCTGCCTTGCTCTTGAGAACACGCAGCTTCCCTACCTGGGGTGCCAACGGTCTCTGTGCCGAGCCCGAGAGGTGCTTCATGACCTCTTCTCTATCCACACCGCCCATTGAAGTCAGGGAAGATACCGAGCCGGTGAGGTAATTCAGGAGGCCCTTTCCCTTCTGGCGTGATGACCAGGAGGTTGGGTTCGGAAGATCGACGTAAACATGTGACGAGGTAGGGAGGATCGCTTTTAGGTGGGAAGCAAAGTTAGAAATTGGCATAGTCTCGTCTGCGTGGAAGAGGTTTTTGGCTGAGGAGAGACTTGTGCTGAAGAGCAGAGTCATATTTACATGAACGGGCGAACTGAGAAAACTGACCTCGCTCCGTCCCATTTCTCTTTCGCGGCGTTCCTGCCTGAGCAAAAGAGCGTCATGCTATAGCCTTTTGATGACGAGGTCTTCTCTACACGTAATGCCGTTGGTGTCAACAATAGCGGTCGGGAGTCGACACACATACCAAGGACAACCGCTGATTCCGGCTCTTCGAATCCAGTGAGATACCAGAAATCGGAGGCTTGTCGGTACTTGTAGCTGAAAAATGGTAAGTCATTCTGGTCGCTCTCCGCAGAGCCTGCCAGGACCTACAAGATATCTATTCATACAGTGAGTCGGCATCCCTATGACGGAAACGGAACTCACTTACTGGCCGACATGTACTTCACTGGTGCCGCCACCGAGACGACGATGGTCTTCTCTGGAAGCAACTCCATAAGTCTCCTCCTTCTCTGCTCATAATCGGAAGCTGGAATGCCCGGTGTCGTCTCATTCTCCTTCACTGGGTGGGGAGCACCACGGTCAGTTCCGAAAAGCAGCACAGGACGTCAGATGTCGACACACCAAGATGTGGGTGGGATAAGAATGTCGGTTGGCCGTACTCGGACGGTTTTGTTGTGACATTCCGGGCAGCAAAGCGCGTTCCAGCGCGTCGAAGTGAGGTGAACATGAAGGAGGGATGGAGGGCTAGGCCCTAACCGTAAGCCCTAACCCCACTCGAACTTGCATCATATCGCGAGCTTGCTCACTATTTTCGTCACCCATCTCAAAACAGGGATTTCGCTAGCACTGTCCAAAAGATGGATGCAAGAACTTTGCCGTCTCCCTCACAGACAAAGTACTACATACATCCAATGCCTCGAGCTCGGTATTCACCAACTGGTTCCAGCACAGGATGGAGACGCTTCTCCAAAAGGCCGTGTTGAATTCAGTCCTGACAGACACAGCTTCCCAGCTTTGTCAACATTCAATTGGCCGCCGGTGACTACCCATGACTCGGCGGTTAGCTACTTAGGACAGGCAAATCATGCAGACATTACATAAAGTGCGCAAAATGTTCCTTACTTTGCGCAAATCAAAGACGGAAGACAGACTCTTCTGGCGATCCGGCGCAGAGCCGAGGGTCAGAGGGGCCATATTCTAGCATGGTCTTCACCGAGGCACATCTTGACGTCGACAACAAGCTTTTCGAGGCGGGTTATGTCGAATCTTAGCTCAGCAGCAAAACAACTAGAGACAAATGAACCCATCCCTGCGCAACACTACATATATTTAGGGACTCGAGAGTCACACTGGCTAGCCCAAACTTTGATTGTGCGTAAAGGGGCATGAATGGCTGGGATTCATGCCGTGATTAAGGTTATCGAGAGGGAAATGGGCCAACTGATCCAAGCTTCCTGACATCTCTCGAGAAGCTAACTGTCCACATCATGTCGTTTGAACCAGATTAACGTGAAGAAATATCCCTTGGCCCGCTCCCTTGGTCGCTCGCTTTCTTCTCCATGCTTGCCATACCTCTTTAAGCATCCATATCAACTGCGAGCTCAAGACTCTCAACCGACCCTATGTGTCCGGATGGAAAACATCTTTTGGCTTTCTTCTGTTGCGTCGCTTCCCGAATCACAAGAAACTGACCCCGAAAGTCTCAGCATTCGAGGGTCAGGACTCTGACGCAGCCTTCGAGGACAAGACACTTTGATAGCCTACACCAGAAATTGAGTCTAGAAGTGACTTTCTCGAAGCGTCGTGGACAACTCCGCTCAAACATTTTCTATTTCCTTCGTCCAATTTGCACGGCCTATTTGCACTCCGAGATCCACTTAGCCTTGCGCCGAATCCAGTCTGGGAATAATCTAGCAATAATCCAAGTCACTTAAAACCGGGCCAAGACAACTTCGTACATACCCAACTGCCTTGTAGGAATTCATCCCTGTCCCGATTGCTGAAAACATACCTGTAAACGTTCGCGATGAGTGCAGTCTGCTTTAAGAGTCTCGGGCGACTATCAAGGCCATAAACGTAGGCCTTCATCAACTCAGTTCGAGGTTTTGAATTACAGTAGCGAGACTGAGGACTGGTGTTACATAGGGTGCCGTTTATGTCCAATTATAGATATTTTTTCCTGATTGGGCAGGCCAAGCCCACCCAGCGATATTTCATCCTCCCATGCCAAGGTTGCCAGATAAATATTTCGAGGCACCCAGTACTTCCCAAAGGACAATGGCGATGCATGGATTACAAGTAAATAAACATAGAGTAGGAGGTATGTAATTTAAGCACACCAAACGAGACTACGGCCGGACGGTTCCGGAAATAGATCTACAACCGAGCATCGCGCGGCATCTTCTTTAGGGCCTGGCGGACACCAAGGTCTCCCAACACGTCTTCAGCACCGGCAAGAACTGTGAGAAAGGAGAAAGGAAAGGGTTTCAGCAACTTGGAACCTCTATCAAGGGGATTCTGATCTAAACTTACTGGCATCGAAGCCTGACGTTCGGTGGTACTAGAAAGATGGTAAGAGAAAGGTATAGTTAGCTTGATTTACGGGACCGGAAAAAACGAGATCGGAAACAGAAGGAAAGAGTGTAATGGTGTGAATATGAACTCACGTTCTCTATGAATTTACCCATTCCGGTGACAGTGAGCGCCCGGCCACCAAATACCTGGGTAGCGTCTGTAGGCCGGTGGAACAACGTAAAGTCAGCAATAGACTTGAGCACGGCAGATTGCGCACGAAAGGTAAATGGCACCTGACCTTCTGCTGTCTCCCGACCAGAACGAGAAACAAATCTAGAAAAGGACATGTAAGAACATACGTCGACATAAGATCGAAAAAGAATCGAGAGGGTCCGAGAACTTCTGCTTCAAAATAAACATTCGGGAAAGGGCATACTGTTTGAGAAGTCCAATAGGACCCGCCAGCTTATCCGATTGCTGTGCGTAGTTCATCTAGTGCATTTAGTGCATTGAACAGCCAGTGAGTGACTGCTTCGAGCGACGGTGGAGGGATGTCCAAGTCCACTGACATTGTTCATCTGGTGCGTGACCGATTCCCACCAGTTTTGGCAGGACTCTATGCGACAAATCATGTTGGCAAGCTTGGCTCGGATTACAGCTTGTGAATTTAGAGGTTTGCCGAAAACAACGCGCTGGGTTGACCATCTGAAGGGGAATTCGATTTACTACTGAGGAATAGCCCAATTAAGTCTCCCACTCACTTCATACACTCCTCGACAGCCAATCGCTGTGCCGCAATGGAGGTAGCAGTTACCATCCATCTCTCGTGGTTGAAGTTCGAAAGGATGACCGACATCCCACCACCAATTTTGCCCAACGTGTTGGTTACTGGCACGCGCACCTACAGAGGATGTTGGTCAATAATGATGTCGGTAAAGCGCGTAAAGAAGGTGCAAAAAATCAACACCGCACCTTATCAAAGGTGACGAACGCAGTGCCTGCTACCGAGGAATATGCGGTCTTAATGGGCTTCGTCGTTACCCCAGGACCTCGCTCAATAAGGATGACCGTAAATCCGCTCTATTTCGAGGATAATGAGCATTCAGTGAATCCGAGACACTGGAAGACTAACTTCTGTTTTGCACCCCGTAGTAAAATAATCCGCGAAAGTTCCGTTCGTGATCCATCTGAAAAGATCCCTCATTGGACGATGATCACTCAACATGCAGGCGACATACTTCTTCGTTCCAGTAACGACCCAGTAGTCTCCATCCCGGACTGCAATTGTTTGCAAACCACCAACATCGCTTCCAGCAAAGGCTTCACTGATTGCAAGTGCAAGATATTTCTTTCCCGAAAGTGTCTAACAGGTAAAGTCAGGAAATTGCACTGCATAATGTCTGGGACGACACTCGCCTCAGCCACAACTCTAGCTTTCAACTCTGGTGAACCATAGTTAAGCACCGGTGGAAGCCCGATGACGAGACCAGCCAAGACACCGTCAATGACAGCCCTGCTACAAACGCGACCGAGTTCCATATGAACGATACCCTACATCCCGAGTGAGCATCACACCTGTTATGAAGGTGTAGAACGCACCTCGTGGAAATAATCAAACTCTTCGGGCTTCACTATACCTCCCATAAGCGTTCGACCCTCGAGGTGCTTTCCAGGACCTTGACGCATAGCGATAATATTCAACTCGCTTTCTGCAGTGTCAGAATTGGCTGTTAAGGCCGACGGAATGACTTACGCCATCTTGTCAACCACCCCTTGCGAAATCTTTTTGCCCGACTCGTCACACTTGATTGATTCGGGTTTAACGACGGTCTCCATGAATTCGCGGATTGCTTTTTGGAATTTCCTATGATTATTCGAATAATATGGGCTGAAGTAGCCCTGGGTGAGCCATGATGCCTCGCCATAGGGCACCTTGCTCGTGGCCCCAGGTGGTGGTGGTCTGATTACTTCGCTCTGGCCTTGGACGGTGCCAATTTGGAGTCGCTTGTATTGCGGACGCAGGAGGACTTCATGTCGATGAAGACCAAAGAAAGCTTGAGTAGCATCCTTCCCAGCTGGCGGTCGCATTCATCGGCGTCGGCGTTACCGGTGACCACTAAACCTACTCACCGATGGATTCAGCCCAGATAACGTTCGCGCCTCCGGGATGCAGGCTGGCAAATTTCGAGAGGTCATAAACCTTCGCGTCAATAGCGACCCACTAGCATCTCCGTGAGCACTAACGCGTATAATGAGATAGTCATGGTTGCTTACGACGTCGCCTTCCTTGTTATGCTGGCATTTGAGGAGTTTGAGCGTTAGACAAAGAGAAAAAAATGGATACATACCTGAGCAATTTCCTCCCAAGTGTACTCCTTCGAGGCCATCATCGTGAAGTCAAGAAGCAAGGATGAGGGGTGTACGGGGACGTTGTGCGAGGGATAGGAGGATACGGTCGAGAGGCGCCCGGCAACTGGAAATGCGAGGGAGCCGGTTGGCACGTGTTAGTCTTTCATTATTTATCAGATAAGATCAAGGCACACCCCACATTTCTCCTGCCCAGACATGCCTTTTTGCGACACTTCTCCGTCGAATTGCAAATTCCCCGACTCGGCACCTTGTCCTCGATCAGGAAGCACAGGAAAGAAGATTCTATACCAGATCGCTCCACGGAGACCCATCTACAGAGCATACATGGAAAAAGACACAAATATAAATGAACAACGAAAGCAATCCAAGAAATATCTGGAGATGAGGAAGACATGGGCGTGCACGTAAGTACTGTTCGTGTCATCAGCCACATGATAACGATATCTATCAAGCGCAAACAAAGCCTAGACTGTGCCATACACCCACACGGCCTCTTGAATTCAAGCGGAGTAGTGTGATGTCTATAGAACGCCGTATTTACAACTGCATCACAAAAATCAGCGGCATATCGATTCCAAAGCGGCTGGAACGTACTCTGAACAGGAAGCCAAGCTAAGGGAAGTGAATAAGCAAAGAACGGGTCTGACAAGAGACGAGGGGCGTACATCCTCCGGTGTAAGTCTGCCCATGGCCTGGAAGCAGACGATCATGCGGTCAGGTCCACGGCGGCGGCCATGCGATTAAAGGACTCACAGAATCGTCGGTTGAGAGCGTCGCATCAACCATGGCACTCTTCTTTTCTTGAAGCTGTACGATACGACTTTCTATGCTGTCTTCGACAACAAGCTTGATGGCTTGCACCGGTCTTCGTTGACCAAGCCGGTGGATTCGGTCCATGGCCTCTAATATGGGCATGAGTTGCATTTGAATTTGATGCAGTTGGACCACTTACGATATTCAACCTAGAAAAGAATGAGGAACTGGCGTGACACAAGAGAAGCGAGCGCTTACAGCAGGGTTCCACCAACTATCCATAAGATACACACGAGAGGCCTCGGTCAAATTGAGGGCTACTCCGCCTGCCTTCAGACTAACGAGAAAGACAGTCACGTCCACGTTGTTCATGAAGTGCTTAATAGTAGCGTCTCGAGCTTGAGGTGACATCGTTCCTTCCAGCCTACAAATCTGTGACACGAATCAGACTTGATAATGAGGAGATTTTCAACAGAAGGGAGTATACAGTAAACCCAGCTCGCTGCAACCTAAAGGCGATCAAGTCCAAGAAGTTGACGAACTGGCTGAAAACGATGCTCTTCGTAGTCGCATCCTGGAGTCTCAAGTTGCTGAGCTCCTCGACCAACGCCTCTATCTTTGAAGAAGAACGCCAGTTGTCCAAGTTGAGACGCCCAAGGATGCCTTGGCGCGTGCTCTGAACGCTCTCTTCGTTCTCGAGAGCAGGTGCTTCGAGGTCTATGGTCAGTGGAACATGGCACACGGGACAATCAGGCTGCGGAGGCAGGATGTAAGTCTACAGGAGAGGAGAAGGTTATGACGCGTACGTTGGTTTCGAATGAAGATTCCAGGTACTGCTTGATGCACTCTCGATCGAAGATATGTCGGCACTTCGATTGGATCGCGTCCTCTGCGATCTCGTTACAGATGCGACAAACTGTAGCTTCGCCCGCGTCGTCAGGAAGGAACTTGTTGGTGTTCGACTTGCTACGAAGGACGAGGTCGGGATGGCAGGCCATTTGCCTCATACGAGTCAGCCTACAGGTTGTACTTCAGATTACGGAATCATGACGCCAGTCCAAGAAAGCTCACAAACTAAAGATGTTTGAGTAGTCTGTAAAATAAAGACGATAATGTAAGAACGCCAATTTAGCAGGAACTAGGAGGCACGTACTATTCAAGATAGTGCCATGGTCTAGATAGGTGTTGAACTGACGCTTCGCGTCAGAGAAAAGCGATAAGTAGAGCTCTTTCTCCTCCGGGCTGAAGTAGTCGCGTCGGACGATAACAGTTCGAGGAGGCAGACCGAGATCGTCCGCCTTTTGCAGTTTCGTCCTGCGCAACATCATCCTGTCCAGCAGAATCTTGAGCTTCTTGAATGCATCCTTGCCAGGCCCATGCATGGCATTCTTCTGGATGGGTGTAAGGATCTCATTGTTCCAGAAGCAGGTCTAAAAAGCTATTCAGCCGCGATTTCGAAGATTCTCATAAATAGAGGGTGCCTACATGTTGCATCGGGCTGTGGCCGCAGTCTGCGATTTAGAAGTAAACACTTAGGGAAAGCTGGCACGTTGAACATCGAGACCATACCATCGCAGGATTTCTTATCACTGAAAATCCAATGCAAGGACTTGCAATCGCAAAGTTTGCCTAGGTCATCTTAGCATCTTCTCAAGCACCTAACCCAGAACAAATTACTCACAAAAGTAGTACGAGAATGGGTCTCCGCCCAAGAATCGGATAAGACTGTACAGCTCTCCGACACGGTTCTGCAAAGGGGTGCCAGAGAGGCACCACCGATATTTAGCCTTGAGCTCGAAGGCCGCTTTGGCAGTGTTAGTTGAGCGCTCCTTGATATTGTGAGCCTCATCCAAGACAATTCGTTTCCATTCAATCTGGTGAATTGGAGATTTCTCCTTGACAATCATTCCTTTGCGTTTGAACCCACTTTGCTGTTTGCGGAAGCAGCTACAAGGGTTCACGTCAACAGTGAAGGGTGACGAAGGTGGACAGCACTTACCTCTCCAACACTGCATATGTCGTCAACACCTAACACGCTTCATTGAGAAAGTAGAGAGTAAAGAAAATGCTGAGAAGCTTACAACATCGTATTTCTTCAACGCCTCGACGTCAGATTCCCGAGAGGATCCATGCCATACAAGGACTTTGAGACCCTCAGTGTGAGCCTCGAGTTCGTTTCTCCACTGCATGATGGCAACTGTCGGGGCAATGACGAGATTAGGTCGGCAAGCATCGCTGACGAACAACGAGATAATTTGGATGGTCTTGCCCATTCTGTAAGTAAATGAAGGTTAGAATCAGGGATAGAGCGGCGAGCAAGTAACGGTACCCCATCTCGTCCTAAAATTTACACGTCATCTTAGATATGCAACTCGCAAGAAGTAATGCAAGGACATACCGCAAGCATGCCACCATGCCAGATGCCTTTTTCTTGATTCCTCATCCAATACAAACTTTCTTGTTGGAAAGGTAGCAAAGTTACTTTGAGATTCTTGGGTTGCTCAGCTTTCTTCGGCTCCGCAATTGGTATATCTTTCTCCAAGTCGCCCCACACATCTCTGAGCTCCGGATGATTACGGTGCAAGGCCACAGTCGTTTTTTCCGCCTAATGAGCATGGTCAATCGTCGCAAATTTTCAGCTCGAGGAGACAGCGAACTTACATGGGTCAAGCTCCTGCCCAGCTTCAGCATCAACGCCCTCCCTTCCTTTTTGTTCTCCTTCCGCGCGGCCAAAAAGGTCTTGCGCCCTTGTCTTCGAGCACGATTCAATTCGGAGATAGTCATTGACTTCTTGACCGAGCTCGACACCTTAACTTTGCCTTTCGAGAGAGGTTCATCCTCAGAAGATGATGCGTCGAGATCGTCACTGCCGTAATCCACGAAGTCGTCCACATCGAACTTGCTGTTCCTCGCGAGACGGCGTTCGGCAGCAGCAGCTCGCAATACGGCAGCAGGGTCGGCGCCGTTTATACGATTGGACGACGATGAAGCACCATTCTGGGACAAAGTCTGAAGAGAAAGGCGTACAGCAGCGCCGAGCATGATTGCTTCGTCCTGCTCGCTGTCATCCGGTTCGAACTCAGAACCACTCAAATCAGACTCGTCGACGTCCATAGGGTCATTTTCGTCGTCGGACATGAGTTCTTCTTCATCGTCGTCCGACGGAGGGGGCGTTTCCACCGCCTTGGCCTTGGCTTTGCCCTTACTCTTCGAAGGCATTGCTGGTTCAATTGCATCACACTGTTGGGTTGCCTCAGGTGGAAGACTTCAAACTTAGATGATGATTCAAACCTTGGCTTTTGCTTTGCCTTTAGTCGCTCTCACAGGGATTTCGACAACCACCTTACTGGACACCGCGCGTCGTTTCGCGGACGGCGCTCGCAAGGCCAGTTCGTCGTCATCACCGTCTTCGACTTCAGGCTCGCTCTCAGCGCAGCGCTTCACACTGGTCTTGGGTGCTGCTTTTGCTCTGGCACTTGCTCTTGTCGCGCGTGCGCTGATGCTGACTTTGGCCACATCTTCGCCTTCCATGTCAGATGTAATTGGGGTCTCAGTGGTCACGACGGACTGCGGTCGCGAGCTGAAGACATCAGACGTTGCATTAGACCTGGGGGTCACCGACAACGAAGACAGTCGCGCGGACTGGCGGGTCGACCTGGCAGACATGGCACGTTAGGGAGGTGGGTGGGAACAAAAGGTTAGGAAATGAACAAAGCACAGACCAATTTTCTTGTAACCACGGTGTGACTAATAAATGAGGGTGCATAACATCACGGGATCGCGAAGCTATCAATGTCACACCGATTTAAGTATGACTCGACGCGATTGATAAAATACAACTCTACTATGGCTGCCGGAATGCGGAAATATTATTTTGCTAATATAAGCACATACCTTGGTCTATTTTTCACTTGAATAGACAATTTTCTCTCCATACACATCAATTTTTGCACACACACACAACAAGTTTTATACACACACATGACTTTTTCGACACACACAGAGGTCATTTTTATACACACACAGGCTTTTGACATACACACACCTGTATTTAATATACACACACCCAATTTCGCCATACACACACCCCGTTTCGACACACACATCCGATTTCTGTACACACACACATTGAGTCGACACACACACACAGGTATCGGCAATTTCGGCCATCAGCGGAGTTCCAACGCCTCGGGGACCTCGGCAGGCATATTTTGGGGGGGCCAGGACACCAAATTTATTCCCATGGGTAAGGCACCTAACACACCAGGCAGCAACTGTCTCTTCTTTTATGTGGTACTGTAGACTTTAGCCTTCTTGGAGTCAGAAGAATAAATTACAGTAACTTTCCCTTCTTTTCCGGATGAAACCTCAAAGATTTCAGGACCCTGCCTACTGTCACATCCCATTCCTGAACCCATTGTTCCATTGTCCCATTGTTCATTGTTCTGGTTCATCAATGGGCTTTCCCTTCATTGTTCTATTCATTATTGTCCTTATTGTTCTCAGTCATTGTTCTGCTGGCATTCATTACATAACCTAGATCTTCTCTATTGTTCTCAATAGTATAAGTAGCTAGGTAGTGTACTGGATTCCCCAGCTTGAATCTCAACCTTGACATCCCCTCTGCTCTGTTGTTCATCCTCTGTCTCCTGTGCCTTGGCCAGGATGACTTCTTCTTGTCTCTCCTCTGTCAAGACCAAGGCAGTTCCTGTAAATTGGGGACAACCAGATGATGTGTAGGGGCACAGCACAAGAGCATGCTGAGGCCAAGTCCCCCCCCTCTGTTCAGGTCATTACACCTACCCCGGGTCCACTCTAGAAGAGCACTAACTTGCTAAATTTGACCAAACCAATTCTGGCTTGGGGTCAAAGATATTTCATGATCTCTGTAAGCCTGGATGGGTTAAGATATCTAATTATTCCTGAGGAGGAAGGGACAGTTGGTGTGGTGCCTTAGGTGCCTTACCCATGGGAATAAATTTGGTGTCCTGGCCCCCCCAAAATATGTCTGCCGAGGTCCCCAAGGTGTTGGAACTCTGCTGATAGCCGAAATTGCCGATACCCATGTGTGTGTGTCAACTCGATGTGTGTGTGTACAGAAATCGGATGTGTGTGTCGAAACGGGGTGTGTGTATGGCGAAATTGGGTGTGTGTATATTAAATACAGGTGTGTGTATGTCAAAATAGCATGTGTGTATGTGAAAAAAGCCTGTGTGTGTATAAAAATGACCTCTGTGTCTGTCGAAAAAGTCATGTGTGTGTATAAAACTTGTTGTGTGTGTGTGCAAAAATTGATGTGTATGGAGAGAAAATTGTCTATTCAAGTGAAAAATAGACCAAGGTATGTGCTTATATTAGTGAAATAATATTTCCGCATTCCAGCCACCATACTCTACAGGATATTTATGAGGGCTGGATTGGGGAAAAATTCCCCAGTGATTTTGAATACATGAATTTGTATTTTATACACTGTGAAGTCAAATTTAAGATATAGGCAGAGGCAATTTGATATACACACATGGGAATTTTTAAACACACACATGGGGATTTTATATATACACACACACACACACACACACAACAATTTTGTAACGACTGTGCCGGATGGGGTGGGGACTTGGCTTCAGCTTGACAGAAAGGGCAGCTGCGCCACCACGCAACGTCTGGGTGTCCCCGATTTCGGATGAGCAGGGAGGAGCTGGATTCCAGCAGTGAACTAGAGCAAAGGGGGTATGTCAAGTTCGATATTCCGACTGAGGAATCTACTACTGTACATGGGTATTTATGCTATGTAGGATAATGGACCATGATTATGTAATAGATAACTTAGCCGGGACAAGGAGAACAATGAAGGACAATGGGACAATGGCTGGGAGACACAATGGAGTGAGCCGGAAACATGGCTCGCCTCGGAAGTGCCTCGGAAGCGCACGGCTCGTTCCCAGATGTCTCGGAAGTGTCCCGGAAGAGCACGGCTCATTACCACAAGCCTCGGAAGCTGGATACAGCCTCGGGAGCCGGATAATTGTGCCGGGAGCCGGGGACGGGTTGTGACAAATTTTACATACACACACAACAATTTTATACACACACATGACAATTTTATATACACACACACCAATTTTATATACATACACGCTGATTTAATGCACATACAGGCAGATTTTACATAGACACACATCAATTTTATGTACACACATGCAGATTTTATACATATACACATCAATTTTATACACACACATGAGATGTCCATGACACACTCAGCTATTGGCATTTCCCTTGCCGGGCAGAGCTTCAAGCTTCTTGGCAGACTTGGCCAAAATTTGGTGCCCCAGGACACCAAAATTTCTCCCACAGGTCTGTTGAGCACCCTCAAAGGCACCTGTGATGCACATCAATTTGGCTCTGCTAGTAGTACTGCTGGTGTATTTCACAATTCTGGACTGAATTTCATGAAATAAAAAATGTGATAAATGGTAGAATGGATGACTGTCCATAAGGTATTTATTCCACAGTAGAATATTTCATAACAAAGTCAGACCTCAAATTCAAAGATAATCTTATAATCTATTCATCTGATTAAACCGCAAGCCTCGTGATTAAAGATAATTGTCATTCCCTGGGCCTCCACCCATCTCTAGCCAGCCATGAATGAAGATGCACTCATATTCCAACAATTCACAGAGCAACTTGAAGAGGAGGCAGATGAAGAGTACTGGGAGATGGGTGCTGCTTCACTCGGCGTCATAGTGGGAGGTGCCGAGATCTCACGTCAGTTACGGAATGAACGACGTCGCGAAACCCGCCAATATCTTACCCGCCCTGAACTCCTGGAGAACCCCCGGATTGCGACACCATGGACCTCCCTTTACGACAGCAGGAGTGACCGTGCATATATCACAACCATGGGGTTCGATGTTGCCACCTTCAATTTCATTCTTGAGTCGGGTTTTGTACAGACCTGGCTCTCAACACCCATCCCCCGAACTGATACCTCTCGTTCAGGAGATCCACGACCAGGCAGCCGATCTTTGGATCCCCCAGGGGCCCTTGGCCTTGTCCTCCATTATCTCAGCTCCACGATGCTCGATGTCAGCTTGCAGCAAATCTTTGCTCTCATCCCTGCCACAGTTGTCCGGTATCTTGACTTCTCACTTGACATACTTCTCGAGGTCTTGCAAAGAATGCCAGATGCCCGTATCAAGTGGCCGAAGGGTGGCCCAGGTGGTGGGCAATTCCAAGAATACAATGATCTTATCATTGTTCGACATCCTCGACTGATTGGGGCCTTCGCTGCCATCGACGGATTGAATCTTCCTGTCCAAACATCAGAGGATGAAGATATTGAGAATGCTACCTACAACGGGTGGCTCTCAGAGCATTTTGTCAGCTCAGTACTTGTGTTCTCACCGAAAGGCAAGAACATCAATGCTATTGTAACTTCATTCACTGATAATATCTTAGGTGAAATCATTGATGCTGTTGTAAATGCACCAGGCAGTTGGCACGATGCTAATGTTGCTCGTCCTATTTTTGAACGGCTTTGCACACGAACACCACCTGGATACTATCTCATTGCTGACACAGCATTTCCTCGTGGACACATTTGCCACCCCATTGCACTCAAGGCTGGCCAGGCTGTGCGAGGTACGCCAGACGAGATTGCGGAGCGAATGGCCTATGACCATGAGCTTCTCTCATATCGGCAAACAGCCGAGTGGGGAAATCGAGGTCTTCAAGGAGCATTTGGTCGTCTCCGTGTTCCACTTCCCATTGACAATGCAGAACATCGAGGAAATCTCCTTGAGATCTGCAATCGCCTCAATAATCTGCGCACAAGACGAGTGGGAATCAATTAGATCCGGACTGTATACATGCGATACTGGCAGGACACAGCTGAGGACATTGATATCTGGCAGAACTTTGAGAATATGCTCTTCTCAGATCAACGAAAGAACGATAGAGTTGCTCACTTCCATACTTACGCAGAATACACGTAAACAGGTTTGTATTACAAGCAGGTGTATGGTAATTGTAACGGAACACAACAAGTAACAGAACATAAGTGTAGACAGAAGTAGATGTTGCACTACTCTACTCGTCCTTGGGCCCATCAGCATCCTTGACGTATATATCGTCATCGTCACCCTCCTCACCATCTTGGTCCTTGCCAGCTGTGGCAGTGGCAGCATTGGGCTGGGAAGTAGTCAAAGCTTGCAACTCTATGCCAAAGTGATGGCCTGACGACGACGATGACGAAGGCTGGTCTCTATAGTCAATGTCACAGCGGCGACGGAAGAAATTGGGGTCCTCGTTCTCCTTATCACTCTCACCCGAGGTAGAGGAGGGATCCGTGACCCAGTACATGTGTATACCTCCCTCCAGGTACCTCTCCTCGCAACGCATCTTTCCCCGGACACGCTGGACTGAACGCTTTGTGGACTTCGAGCGCTTGACATACCCATTGTGGCGGCTCCTCCTGAAAGGTCGAGACTGGCGGCTACCCTCTTCAATGAGCTGCAACTGCAACTCAGCACGATCGCGGGCTCGCTGGGCCTCATGAACCTGGGTCTGGAGAGTAGAGAGCTGGGAGCGGAGCGACTCAATGGTAAGGTTGGCGTCTCGAAGTTGCTGGGAAAGGGTGAACATCTGCGAGGCTTGGAAGGAACGCTGGGCACGTTCCTCATCATGAGCTTGTTGGACACTCAGATCAAAGGCATTGGCAAGCTTTCCGATGAGGTCGACATTGTTTGACCGAGAGCGGCGCTGGACAGCGGGGTCAGGTCGGCGGATGATAGCATTCTGGATATCACGGTTGCCAGCGGATGCCGCCTTCCTCGATTTCTTTGGCGCCTCTGGGATGTCGTCGGCATCGTCATCGTCATCTTCAGATCCACCAGTCAACTGAGCAGCATCATCGAAGTCGGAGTCGTTGAGATCGCGGGTGGCAGCCCTCTCGTTGATACGCCCGTCAATCTTGTGTGCTCGTTTGACGTCTGGGGGACAATAGGCATCACCAGTGGGCTTTGTGGTCTTAACAAGCTAAGATGTGTTGTAAGTAACAATGTTTCTTACATATAACCAAAAACGGCTGACCTGTTTGAACTTGGTCTCCAGAGACTTTAACGTGCGTTCAGCAGCATCGTTACGACGAGCCCAGCGAGTGAAACCATGGTGGATGGACTGCCACCCGTGTTGGCCAAGAGGGAGCTCCTCCTCGACAAAGTCAAGGAGGGCATCAACCTCATCTGCAGTGTAGTTGCCAGCACCCTTGGGATGGCCACGCTTGGCTACTACCTCAACTTCTTCATCATCCGAGGCATGCCTGCACTTGCGAGCGGTGGCCTTCTCCTTTCCCTTATCGCGAGACTCGGTTAGTACAGCGCGCTGTTTGCCCTTGCCCTTCTGACATGATCCAGCAACCTTCTTCGCAGCGGCATGGCCCCGGGACTTCACAATTGTGACCGGGTCAGAGAGGTCGTCGTCCGAGACCTCAGGAAGAGGTAAAAGCGCCGGATCGATCACTGCAGTAGAAGGGCCGGCTGTCGGGGCTCGAGTGGATGTAACAATCTAACACAGCATTAGGACAAAGGAGATATATGATCTAGGAGGCTACATACCACAAGAGCCTCAGAAAGTGGTTGGTTTGGACCATCCTCCATGTTATTATGGGGGCGAGTCTGACGAAAACAAGTCAGGACTGGTGTAGACAACAATAAGATATAACAAAACGTACCGGGGCAGTTTCGTTCTGGGACACAGCAGGAAATCCATGAGTTGCAGTAGGGACAGACTGAAAGAGAAGGAAAGAGGGATTGAGACATGTAGAGACACCATATAGGGTAGGGTACCTACCTGAGAAGTCACCATGGTTGGCGCGTATAACTGAACCCAATGACCAGAGACATCTTGGACATATGGCTGCCCAAACCTGTCATATCGGATGTTAGGGTTGCCAGGAACAGGGGTAAGTTGGTTGGGGTCCATAGCGGTTGATGAAGAGGTAGAACGAGCTGAGTTTTGGTGACACGAAGCCTGGGAGGTAGCAGCAACGACTCACCACTTTTATACCTATCTCTCCATGCATTTCAGCCATCTTCCGCTCCTCATTTCCCCTCCTAAGCCTTCGATAATGTTCCTCAAGCCATTCAAGACCGTCTCGAGACCGCTAGCGAGCGCAATTAAGCCCCTGGCAATGCGGGCTGCAGCCAATAAAGGACCTAATTGCAGACCCTGCTCATGATTGGATGTGATTAGCATGGTACAAGGAAGTAGTAGCATGTAATGACTCACTCTCACACATGAAGGGGGCTTTGGCAAGCTCGATGGGCAACGATGGACGACAATGATGGACGATGATGAAGGTTAAGATAAGAGCACGGCGTAAGCAAACAGGGAGTTGTTTGGTTGTGCATCACGGGACAAACAGTTTATTCGACCGAAAAAAGTCTATTCGAGGGGGTAGGACCCTCTGAATAGATTAAGGTTTATTGAGGGGCCCAACCAGGCACGACGGATAATCCGTGTTGACATGTTGGCAGCGGCATTGCGGCATCACCACCAAGGAGCACGAATATAATCTATTGCGGCGAATAAATGCTTATGGACAGTCATCCAATGTTGGGAGTTTTCAGTATATACTCTTTATGTCCAAAATTACCCACATCTGGCAGCTCCATGGCTAAATCAATGCACCTCACCACAAAATTATAAAAATGTGGTCTCACTGGTCCATCCCCTAAGCATCTTGATAGTCCAGAATTGCCTGAAATACACCAGCATTACTACTAGCAGAGCCAAATTGATGTGCATCACAGGTGCCCTTAAGGGTGCTCAACAGACCTGTGGGAGAAATTTTGGTGTCCTGGGGCACCAAATTTTGGCCAAGTCTGCCAAGAAGCTTGAAGCTCTGCCCGGCAAGGGAAATGCCAATAGCTGAGTGTGTCATGGACGTCTCATGTGTGTGTATAAAATTGATGTGTATATGTATAAAATCTGCATGTGTGTACATAAAATTGATGTGTGTCTATGTAAAATCTGCCTGTATGTGCATTAAATCAGCGTGTATGTATATAAAATTGTCATGTGTGTGTATAAAATTGTTGTGTGTGTATGTAAAATTGTTGTGTGTGTGTGTATATAAAATCCCCATGTGTGTGTTTAAAAATTCCCATGTGTGTATATCAAATTGCCTCTGCCTATATCTTAAATTTGACTTCACAGTGTATAAAATACAAATTCATGTATTCAAAATCACTGGGGAATTTTTCCCCAATCCAGTCCTCATAGATATTTGCCTCGCTTCGCTTTGGCCATAAACAAAATCCGCCACTGAGCAGAATCTCAGAAGAATAAAAATGAAACTCAAGGACTTGACTTGGAGACTGGCGGATTGAGAATATGCAGAACCTAGCCCTGTGTCATGACTCATACAATCGAAAGTTGACATTTTGGAAGGGGTGGAATCTCAAGAGACTAAAGTCTGGGGCTAATGGAACTCGGATGTGAAAGAGCAGAGTTGACGCAATAGACATGCACAGTGCAGCCGAGCAAGTGCTTATGAGCACTTATGTGAAAGGAGAGGAAAAACAGGGGATGAGAGATGAAGATGAACACATGTGGAGGGAGAGAAAGGGAATGGAGGAGCATGGAAGTAGAGGATCAAAAGTTGGTATACAATGGTGTGTAGAGTACAGTATTAATTGTCTGTCATGCAACACTCTAGGAAATAAGGACACATAGACTAACGGAATAGGAGGGGAAGAGAAACAATTAAGAAGCATTGAGGAGAATCGAGGATAGGACATTGCCTGATGACCTAGGGGTAGAACAATAAAGTGTCTGAGGGAGGAGAGACGAAATGGGAAAACGGGCATGAGCAGACGTACAAACAGACGTACACGAAGTCGAGGGATCTGCTTCATTATAGAGGTATAGAGGTATATATCCTACAAGAAAGAAAAAAAGGTGCTCTCTACGAAGAAAACGCGCTCCCAATGGCATCTCCCAGCGACCCAAGGTCCTGCCCAGCAGTAAAGCTCGACGGGTCCACACCGGCCGTACCTCCCGAAAACGACTGACTAATGCTATTGATAGCTCCCCCGACGCCTCCTGTCGGATCAGCCATGCTACTCGTCGCGCCATTGATAGTCTGCGCGACCGTGTCCAGGAAACTCATGCCTCCTCCAGATGCAGTCGCGGTACCCCCGACGGCGTCTGTTCCACCAAGCAACGGCGTTCCGGTGCCGCCCAAGCTCATGGCATTCATCATATCCACCATGGACTGCTGTTGTTGCTGGTATAGCTGCTGCTGCATGTTGCTGTACATATCAAGGAACGTGGTGACACCGCTTTGGCTGGGTGGAGGATTCTGCGGCTGCTGAACGGTGTTGATGGTCTCGTAAATCGAGCTCACACCGCTCTGAGAAGGGGGTGGATTTTGCTGTTGCTGCTGTTGGTTCATTGACCCATATATCGAACTCAAAACATCGTGAAGAGGATTCGGGTTCAGCGACTGCTGTTGGCCAGCTGGTGGTCGTTGCGGTTGTTGAGCCCCGACGGATGTGTTCAGTGCAGCTTGCTGTTGAGCGATGGCTTGCTGCTGCTGAAGCTGAAGCTGTGCCTGGAGCTTATGTGCGTACGTCTGTTGTTGTTCCTGCTGCTGCAGTTGCAGTTGCAGCTGAGCCGCTGCCGCCGCCTGCTGTTGTTGGATTGCCTGCAGTCTCGCCGCCACCTGCTGTTGGGCGTGTTGAGCGGCAACACTTTGCTGCTGCAAAATGGCGGCCTGTTGCACCTTCAACGCTTCCATTGCTTGTTGGTGCTGTTGGTGCTGCTTCGCGCCCATATGCAGCTGGGAGAACGTCTGTTGCTGGGCGAGGAGAGCAGAAGCCTGCTGGGTCTGAGCCGCGATCTGAAGTTGTTGTATTTCGGCGATCAGTGCGTGGTAATCGACCGCAGGCTGTGGAGGCCGTTGGTACTGCATGCCCATTGCCGTCTGCATCTGCAGCTGTGAGGCCAATTGTTGCTGGTATTGCTGTTGCTGACGAACGAGTGCGTTGATGATCGCTTGGTAGTTCGCACCTGGCTTCGCATGCGCAACAGCCTGCAGGTCCGACTCTGCTACCATGTTGTTGTTTTTCGAGAACGCCGCCTTCAACGAATTGGTAAGTTTGACTGGATCAGGTAAGACGCGCAGAGGAAGGCCTGTGGAAGCTGCTAGAACACCTCCAGCAATCTTGTACGCCTGACTACCCAGTTGTCCCATCTTCGAGTATTTGTGGAAGTTTTCCGGTGTTATGGTGGAGTTATTCGAAATCGGAGATGAAAGTGTGGGTGACAACGGCGCAGGTGGAGGAGAAATGGGAGGAGTAGCGAAAGCTGTTGTCCCTGGAGGTGCAGACGATGGTCCTGGTGCAGGTTGTGAGAAGAGAACCGACGAGGAAGGGGGAGAGTTATTCGGAAGAGAGAGAGGCGAAAGGGAATGGTTGGACGAAGGTGATGAGCCCAAGGAGGCTGTCTGTGGCGGAGTGAAATGATTATGTCCCAGGACCTGCAAATTCGCGGGTGGACGAGCTGTGGTCGTTAGATGGGGAGTCGGTCGTGGTGATACGGTGGGCGGCTTGCTGGAGGTATATGTGACTTGACCTGGGCTATACGTATTGGTGCGACCTGGGAAGTGAGGAGGTGGAGGTGGGACTTGCAGCGATTGCGTTCGGTGTGGTGCATGAGACTCAGATGAGAAAGTCATTGAGCTGACATGGGAACTCGAGGCGACCGAGGAAGAACTAGCATAAGCGATTGAGGAATTAGCGGCGTACGTTGATATCCTCGATCCAGCCACCCCAAGAGGCACCATACGCTGCCGGTAGTCCGTCTGGTTCGCAGGTCGATTGCTCACCGATACGCTCTGTCTTGGTGGTCCAGGGGGAGGGGACGGGACGAAACTCGATTGTCGTCCTACAGGAGGAGAATTTGAGGGAGGCGGTGTCGGTAGCATTGACATTCGGGAGGGCGGGTGCGACTCAGGAGCCGTTGAGAGGTTTTGGATGTCGCTGCTGATCATCGGCGTCGATATGTTGCTTCCTGAGCTCGCATATAGCTTCTGGGCAAGGGTGAGTCCTTGGGGGACTGGGGGAAGTGGGTGTGGTTGCCCGACGATGGACATCGGGCGCTCTGCCTGTGGGGTCGCTATATAGATCCTCTTGCTCGGTCGTTCGAGGTCCAATGGATGGGTGAATGATACCTTGGGCGGCATGACAGTCGTTTGGACATAATACCTGGCGCAAGTCGTCAATCTAGCTGTTTGTAGAGTCAAAAAAATTCGGCCTCTTACCACAGCTGCTTTCTGGATCATTATAAGATGAGTCCTTCAGCTGGGACGTAGAGGGTCGGGAAACACGTACGAGGACTCATAGTGCTGTATCCACCCTTCAGGCAAAGGCCTCGTATCTGGATTCCGCGCCGTCTGCATCGTTGTAACCGATCTAACTGCCACGCGCTGCGGGAACGAACCTAAAAGTCGATGGCAGTGCCGACTTATTGGGAAGAGTTGGCAACCACTCTGTGAGGGAGAATAAGGTGGAAAGCAAGTTTCCAGCCTTATAGCGTGAAGAGATCCGGTCGCATCGAAGCGTTGTCAAACGCGCCAACGACTACGCAGGCACTGAGGCAGGAGAAGTACATACCCCTGATTATCCTCGAATCGGAGAGCCGTGCTCGGCTTCATGCTCCGGGCATAAAATGATCTAGGCACAATAGACATCAAGTTACAGCCTCACTTTTTATTTGAGTGAGCAACGGTGTGAGAGGTTTGCGGCAGACTTTCGAGAGGTCTGCGGGTACCCGGGACAGCGAGCGCTCGGGTGTCTTCGGTGTTGCGCTGGTGCTAGAGAGGAACTTGAATTACGGACTCCGGAGAAGAGCTGTTGTTCACGAGTTCACACGATAATTACCATTGACAGCCATTCCGAGATCGAGACAAACTACAAGCTTTCAAACCACTGATAAACGAGACCCGTGTGTACGAATAGTAAGAAAATAACGCATACTATGAGCAATGAGCAGGATCTAGAAGATAAGAACAAGGACACTAAACCGAGGGGAATATATCATAGGAAATACGGCGGAAACCAAATCACTAATCGAAACAAAGCCGGATGTCGAGGGTGCCGATGAATCGAATCCCGAGAAGATCATATCGAATATCCATGGGCTATCGTCTTGAAGCCGTCAAAAATCGCCACCGAAGTCATCGTCAAAACCACCTACATCGAGTAAAAGGTCAGCAGGAAGGCTAAGGGATCTAAGCACCACCAGACTAACCGCTATCACCCATGTCATCAATTGCGTCGGCCACAAGGAGACCTCCCACTAGACCAGCACCACCTGTAACAGGAGACGATAGTGAGTAGAGGCTCCAAAGGATATGACCAAGTTCGACGTACCTGCGAGTGCCATGGTGCCCATACCCATCCCGCCGGACTTCTTGGGCGCTTGGGTGTAGACCACCTGCTGCGCGGGGTAGCCTCCGCCACCCACGTACCCACCGTGGCCACCGCTTCCGTGACTGCCTCCACCGAGCTTGCCCATCAGCCCACCCATACCGCCTCCACCACTAGACCCTCCAGTCTTTCCGCCTAGGAGCCCTCCAAGCATCCCACCTACAAATGGGCAATCGTTATTTGTCAGATCTTATCGTAAATGTAGACCGTGAAAGAGACGCGCACCCATGCCTTTGCCACCTTGTTGGGGGGGAGGCGACTGGCTGTTGTAATTGCCCTGTCCATAGCCTCCGCTGCCACCATAATCTGACCTGTAGCCGCTAGCTCCTGGACTTACTGGGCCCCCACCGTACCCTTGCTGAGGACCTGGACCTTGTGGACCCGAGCCTTGTGGACCTTGTGGAAACCCAGGGGTATTGCTGTTGCCGCCATAGCCAGAATGACCTTGGGGGTTGTTGTATCCATAGCCCCCTCCACCTTGGTTGTATCCGCCCTGGTTATATCCGCCCCCGTAGTTGTTGTTCGGAGGGGGTCCTCCAGTGGGTGGTGCATATTGTGGTTGAGGCACAGGGGGTGGCGGTCCGAGGGGGTGGACCCAAGTTGTGACTGGAGGCGTTGCTTGCGTATTGACGTAGAACCTGCACGACGAATGTCAGGCGCACATTAAAGTGGGCAGTAGTCGTTCGCCTAACCATGTCTTGTAACTGGAGAACCAGAGGCGATCAGAAGCGATCCAAGGGATCCAGATAAGATAAACGCGTACTTTGAGTCGTATTGGGTTATCCAGCCCGGAGGAAGCTGTCGGGTGTCGGGATTAGTTTCGTATGGCGGCGGGGACGACATTGGGGGAGAAGAAAGAATATGGAGGAGGCTGCTTGGTGAGAGGCTTATTATACCGCTTGGCTACACCAGACAACACAGCATCACGCAGTCACCCGGCTAGGCCGAGCGTCACCAGACGAATTGGATGTACACATATGTGATTATGATTATTGGTGTCCAAGCAAAAATACGGCGACACCAGCAAGAATATCGAAGGAGTATGAAGGTTACAACCCTAAAGTAATATAAAAACAATATCAGTGAGAAGGAACATTATACCGCAACTCGTAGGTTAGAGCGGAAGAAACACAAGTCAGAACAAAAAGGGGGAAAATCCAAATGAACCGCACTATGTCACATTCACCTCCCATTCTTTCGTATCCAATGCCGTACACAGTCGTCAGAATTCTTCAGACCTTGGAGCTTTTTTTGGCTTTTGGTGCAGACGGCTGTGCGGATGTGCCACGGCGCTTCTTCGGTGCAGGTTCCGGGGATGCTTCTTCTTCTTCACTCGAATCACTATCAGGCTCGGCTTGCTTCGGTGCTTTACGCGTCGTGTTTTCTTCCTCCTCAGAATCGTCGTCCTCGGACGCCTCAGTGCTTGGCTCAACCTCCTCCGGCGCAGGTGGAGGACGCGCCTGGACAGCAGGAGCAGGAGCGGCAGCGGCAGGTTTTGGGCCACGCTTCGACTTTGCCTTTTTGAGCTAAAGCATTCCGCACATGAGTTTCAGAGCCGACGGGCAATGGAAACACAACTTACAGCCCTGGCTGCTTCGAGGGCGGCGTTGGCAGCCTCAATCTCTGCGGGTGTGCGGTTGTCGTAGGCCTTCTTCTCCTCAGAATACAGGGCATTCGCGGTCTTCATGGCCTCATTGTAGATCTAGATGAATGGTGGCGCGCCGGTCAGCAAGAAAGTCAACATTCATGTGCGCGACGCGACGTGCCCGTTTCTGATCGTCAGACATGTTCTTCCACTGCTCAGAGATCATGGCAAGAAGATCCATGTTGGAAATATTGGGGTGCTGTTCCTTGAGCTCCTTGCGGACTTCGTTCTGGAAGAGAATGTAGGATGATGCGGGGCGCTTGGGGGCGTTGGGGTCCTTGACCTTCTGGGTGCGCTTGCGCTTCTTAGGGCCGTCGGCGTCGTCGGGCGACGCTGCTGCCTTGCGCTTGCCCTTGGCAGACTCATCGTGGGCGGCTGGGTTGCGGGGTGAGCCGCGGCGCATCAAAAATCGAAAGGACGCACCGTTCAGATACTCAGCGACCTCTGGGGCATAAGAGGCGTCGTTGACGATTTTCGCGAAGGTCTCGGCGAATTGGGCGCAGTTCCGCATGGACTCTGCGAGACCGGTGAGGCTGGCGGCGAGCTGAGGGGGCGAACACGTCAGAATATGAGTGGAAGGGAGGCAGAACGCATACCTGCTCGCGATGCAAGTCGAACTTGGACGGGTTGGGCATGGGAGGTGTGGAGATGTAGGGGAGAGAAAGTGAACTTTGTCAACAAGAAAACAAAAAAGCGAATTTGTTGTTCTTTTGTTGTAAGCCATGTCTCGGTAACCGTGGGAGACCGGAGTGCGAAGCGGAGTTCAGGCCACCACCATGCTCGTCCCTGCGAGCGAGCCCACAAATGTGCCTTTGCCAACGACGCTGACCACGACAGACAGCCCAGGGAGTCCTAGCGCGCCAGAGAGCATCGCCCAGCGTGTTCTTGTGTCTGCTGATCCCGTCTTTCTCCCAATAAGCCTTTTTTTTTAGTCCTGCTGAGTCTCCATTATCGATTAAAAAAAGAGTGTCACCTCTCCATGGATTCGAGCATGTATACTCAGTGGGTGCAATCCAATCTGCCAGAGCCGCCCCAACACGTCCAGCACCATCTGCAGCATGACGCCCGCCCCCATCCGTCCCTCGTCGACGACTGGAACAAGGACCGCTCGGCACAGCTGGCACAGTCGTCTTCCGCCGGCGTCTCTTCTCCCTCTTTGACCTCGCCCACAATCGACATGAACGATTTCACGACGTTGGGGGACCTAGGAGGTGAGTTGTCCTATGAATTTTACACCAGTGGTCACGCGCCCCTTCGTTCTTGTGCTTACGCACCGTCATCCTCCCCCTGACAGCCACCGCATCCTCCATCCTTTCTGCATCGCCCCAAGCGTTCTACAGCCAATATGTCAATCCCTCCTTCCTCATGCAAACCCATGGATTGCACACCCATTCCCCGTTCACGACAATGGCATACGGTACACCCTGGCCCAATCTCCCCGTGTCAAATTACTCAAGCCTAAATGGTGCAACCACGAGTACCTCGACCCTGCCGGTGTCCGTCCAGCAACAGCAGCAACAGCAACAGCAACAGCAGCCGTCTCAACAGCAGCCGTCTCCACCTCTTCAGAACCAGCAGCCTATCCAACAGCAGCAGCAGTCCCATCTGTCCACATCGCAGCAGCTGATGATCGAGTAAGCCACCTCCGATACCACCAGTGGTTCCGAATCTCATAATTTTACAGCCCGATACTCACCATGAACAATGGCGTATCGTCTCTCAACATGTCTCCTTTCCCACAATCACCTACATATTCCACGCAACAGCAACAATCGCAATCCCAGTTACAGCGGACATTTTCGTATAATACACAGGCTATGTTGTACCCGTTTTATCGGCCGTCACCTCAAGCACCCCCCCAGGGGACATTATCGCCCCAAGCTTTGCATTCACCTCCAAACTCAATGATGACAATCCCGCCGAACTCGTTTTATACGGCCATCCAACCGTCTCCTGCCCAATCACAGCCCGCAAACCCGTCACAGCCTAATATGGCATCCAGTTCCCAAAACGTTGGGACGGCCGAAGCACCGTCTGCAAAACCCGGGCCGACGCCGGAGGAACTGGAGGCTCGGAAAGAGCAGTTTCTGGAGTCAATCCGGCCGTTGCTCCAGTCTTCGGCATTTACCGGTGCCCAGGCCGTTCAACATCTGACTGACCGGATTGTTGATTTTGGTATCGGTGAGGTCGATGCGTCAACACGCCTCGACATCCTTGCACGGATAAGGGATGGCGCTGGGAACCACTACTATCGCGCGTGGTCCGAGAACGAGGTGGCTGTTGACCTCACATATCATTGGATGAAGGCGGCTGCGAAGGATGGAAGCGGTGCACTGGTGGAAACAATCATGCCCCTGTTACATGTGAGTATCGCGACATTCAAAATGAAGCGGGTCAAGGAACTGACATGGATCTACTTCAATCAGCTTATTGATCGACTCCCGTTGACACTGGATATGCTGGCGAAGACTAACTTTGGCAAGATTATCAAGAAGTTGGGTAAGGATGGACCATCGCCTGGTGAGTTGATGTTTCTGCCTCGTATCCCCACAGACTTTCCGCGCCTATTGTGGGTTGTGACTGCATGATCGCACACGATGTTTGGGTTCTGCTGTGCATGTCAACCCACGTACGGCGTCGGAGACGTTGAATGCAGCTGGATCTGGACGTTATCTTACCGTGAACAAAAATGTTATCCCTGGTGGAAACAATGCGCGATTCTTCATCCCTTCCCTCCTTTCTGAGTGGCGTAAAAATAATAAATGCATGTCTAACTTGCCGTTTCCGCGTTTCTTTGTAATGCAGCGATCAAGGACATGGCATCGAATCTCGAACGCAGATGGCGTAGTATGCTGGCGGCTGAAAAAGATGAGGGTCAGTCACGTCAGTTCGTCGTACTATTATTCATCTGATGCGCTACTTCTGGTAGATAACAAGGCTAAAAAGCGCAAGATAAGTGACTCGACTGCGCCTGCAAAGTCGTCGGTTCCACCGAAGAAAGCAGCGCTAGGCAATTCTACGTCGACGAAACCCGTCGTGGTGAAGAAGGAGGTGAAGCCCGCTCCGGCGCCCGTTAAGGATGCTAAAGCGGACTCGTCGTTCTTCTCCGCACCCAAGGCGAAGGCAAAGCTGCCGTCGTTCAAGAAAGCGCCGGCGTCGGTGGTTGTGAAGAAGGAGGAAACATCTACTCCCCTGCCGGGATCGTTTGATCCCTTTAAGGAGGTGCTGAAGTCGATGAAGACCGCGCGGAAAGACTCTCCCGCAGCACCCACACCGCCGCCAACGTCTGTCACGCCCTCGGGTGACTCCCAAACGGGTCTTGCCAAAAATGGTAAGAAGAAGAAGTCCGTGATGTGGGCACCTGACGGCCAGCTGGAGGCGATAAAGCTCATCGAGAGAGCTGTATATGATGACGATCCCGTAGATGTCAGCGTCTTTCTCTCATTCTTCCCTCTTGTACCGTACATTGATGACTATCCTCGCATTGCCTTTGTTGTGGGCATCTCTTTTTTCTATTTAGGGTACACATGTGGCGCATAGCCTTCGCGACTTGGATAGAGGAGAGGGTGCCGCGCTACATGCACATATGTTCGAAGAAGTGGTGGATTGGTCAGAACCTATGCGTACGTGCACCCTATTGAATTCTATTTCCGTCCTTCATACCTTATTGACACCTTTCTGCAATGTACCCTTATAGTGGTCGAACTGCCTCCCGATCCCGACCCACACCAGCGACGCCCGGAGAGAGGGTACGCCAGTCAAGAGAGGAGTGCTCAAGAAGAACGTGAGCAGACCGCGCTGTCAGCCATCTACATGTCTGCCAGCCAAATTCCGGACTCACCAGCTGAGCCCGGAACGGTACTCACAGAAGAGGAAACGGACAAGGATGTTCCGCAAATTCAAGTGGGCAGTGAGTTGGAGGTGATCTTCTGGGCTGATCCCGTCCCGCCTGTCCCGCCTGCCTCTGTCGCCGACCTCGTCGGTCAGCTTGCGCTCGGCGCTGCCGGTGGCGCGAACATGTTGATGGACCACTCAATGCCGCCCACGGATATCGACTCCCAAGCCGCACTAGCAGGATTACAACCTGACCAACTCCAGCAGCTCCTGCAGCAGCTCTCCGCCAACACTGCCGCCGGTGTAGCTCAACCAACGGCTCCGCAGTATGGACAGCAGCAAGCGCCCGCGCTCGGAGCTTACGGCACCGACGCATGGGGCCAAGCGACGTCTACCCCGAGTCACTTCGGGGGCGACTACGGCACGGCACACGGTGGGTACTCTGACGGGCTGAACGACCCCGGCGAGCCGTCACAGGCTGGACGGTGGAGCGGCGGCACGCGCGGGACCGCGGGCATGAATGGGCTAGGACGGGCACGGGGTAGACCATACAATAGAAGAAAACAACCTTGCACATTCTATGCACAAGGAAGGCGAGCATTGAATCCTACTTTCTGGAGGCCTCGTCCTCACATTTTCCCCGAGTGAACCGGAGACTGATTCGTGACTTCTTCCGGAATTAACAGATGCCGATATGGTGACCACTGTGACTATGCGCATGATGGGCCGTAGTAGCGAGCGAGCCCTGCCGATAGAGGAAGGAGAAGCCGGGAGGGGATAGGACGATGCGGCGGCGAGGCAAGAGTAAAGTACAATTGTATACCATATTCCACATTCGTTATCATGCATTGGCTACGTAGGCACGCTTAATTCTATCACTCGAATTCAAATCGATTAGTTATCGGAGTGACCAGTGGCCTAACCCAAGAAGTCACAGCTGATGGATCGATGGAAATTGTTCGGTGTTTCGATGTGTAAAAGTACAGTACAGTGGGATCGACATCTTTTCAAAAGCAAAAAAAAGCGTATAAAGGAAAGAAAGAGGGACAACGTGAACTAAGTACTAGTGGGCTCACTGAACGGAAAGGCGAATACAAATCTCGCCAAGAGATCCAAAGTAGATAAGTAGGGTAGCTATACGTAGGGTACAATCTATGAACACATAGTACTAACAAAAAAAAGATATCAAAGATGAGGTGAGGGAATCGGAGCATCCGTCAGCGAAACCACGATTTTGGAAAGCAAGATAGAATATATGTTGTGAGTGTTATGGGTACTTGGGGCGTGTCGAGTGGGTGTCGGGCGACGGGAATCAGTACGAGGGAAAATAACACAGAAAGAAGGAAAGGAAAAAGAACCTCATCCGGCGCCCGTCGTTCCCGTCCGTCCCCTCTTCCTCGGTTGCCTCGCGGCACCCTTTGCCGGCTGCCCCGCCGCACCCTGGCCTCCCTGGCCATCGGCCCCACCAGGACCCATCGTCGGCGACGCCGCGTCTCCGCCCACCTGCTTCCGCTTCAACGACGCATTCGACATCGCCGGCGTATTGTGCGTCCCGCCCGACGACACCGCAGGGGACGACACCCCGCCCTGTCCTGGTCCACCCTGACCTCCCGCCCCGGGCCCACCAGGCGTCGGCGCCTGCTGCTGCATCGGGTTTTGCATCGGGTTCTGTAGCGGCGTATGTAATGGCGTCGGTCCTCGCGACGACGACGGCCCTTGCCCTTGGCCCGGCGGGGGTGGAGGCGGGATCTGCATCTGTGCTTGCAGCTGCTGCTGGAGGTGCTGCTGGAGGTGGCTCTGCATCTGCCCTGGGGCCGGACCTGGGCCTGACCCTGGCGGGCCCTGCTGCTGCTGGCCTGGGATGCTCTTCGGGTGCTTCTCGGGGCTGTTCGTCGACGACGAGGACGTGTTCTGTGGCGAGTTCATAGACGAGGGCGGGCCGGGCGGTGCGGGGTGGGTAATGGAAGGCGAGGCGCTCGAGTAGAGCGTCGAGGGTGTGTGTGGATATGACTGGAAGGGCGTCAGTGCGCCGTTGACGAGGTGCTGCTGCTGCTGGTGGTTTGGTTGCGGCGGTTGACCAGGTTGTTGGTGTTGCAAGTGAGGTTGGAGGCCGTGTTGGGATTCTCGTATCCGCTGTGCAAAGTTCTTCAATGCATCTGAAACGAAAAAATCAACAACAGTTTTAGAAAACCATCAACCAAGATTTACCTAGCGGTCCAAGATCCGTTTCCCTCGCAAACCCAATCAGCTCCGCCATCGCGCTGACGCTCTCCGCGAGCTCAAGGCACCTCATCGTTGCCTGCGGTATTCCAAACGCATTCACCGGCTCGCCTGGCAAGCTCGCATGCTCAATCGTCATCCTCGGTTCTTCCCACCTTCTCGTCTCCTCCCATCTCCTGTCCCAATCAGCCTGCGACGCGCCTGGGGGCAGTGGGCTAGGCGGGGTCATGGGGCCCTTTGGCGGCTCGATGGTGCGGTTGCCCTGGATAGCGTCGAGCGCGATGCACTTGTCATGGAAGTTGGCATCGAACTGAAACTCCTCGAACTTGAGCGTATATGCGGGCTGTTGGGTGTTGGAGGAGGTGGATGGGCCGGATGTACTTGACGGCGGGGGCTGGGTGGCGGCGACGATGACGTGCGCGGTGAGCGGCCCGCGGAGGGTGACGGTGTATCCGTTGGTGTATTTGTACGTCCACACAGCGGCAACACACTCGACGACGCTGTGGCCCTGCCCGAATGTCCGTTCTCTGGCGCCGTCGAGTGATAGTGTCATCGATTTCACGCCCGATTGTGTTGTGACGAGGAAAAATCTTGGTAGGATCGGGATGCCGATTTCTTTTTGCACGGTTGAGGAAGGGAGAAACGAGGGAGAGGGAGAGGAAAGCACACACCGAAAGGCTTTGCCTCGTTCCGCTGGTTGTCCTTCCATAGCGTCAGTTTCATGACGGCTTTTGGCGTAAAGTACTCTTTGACGAGCTCGTTCCACCAGGCCCACTGCAGTTTCTGCTGATTTTCATGTTAGAACGAGGAGAAGTTGGATAGCACTGGACACACCGTTTTATTGCTCTCGGCGGATAGCACGCCGCTGAACTGCAGTAGCCTCGTCAATCCTGCGCCAGATCCGACACCCATCCTGCAGAAAAATGAGAAAAGGTCGCGGAATGAAAGAAAAAACGTACCCGTTGAGCATCTGAGGCGGACGTGGGATCGATGATGCTGCAGAAGTGGAAGGAGGATCCGGTCCTGCGGGTGGATGCGCGGGACCTGCTCCAGGGCCTGCCGCTGGAGCATTGGACCCCGCTGTTGGCGGGCGTGGAGCGAGGTGGGGCGGCTGCTGTCCCTGGGGGATTCTGCCCACCGCCGTTAGTCCGACTGGGGGTAATGGAGGCTGGAGGGAACGGGGGGTATGGGAGGGCCCTGCCTGGGAGGGAGGTCTGCCGGGGACCTGTGGCGGGTGTGGATGCTGGTGATGGGGCGTCTGTGGCTGGGACTGTGGCCGCTGTGGATGGTGGGGATGGATGTGGATGTGGTCGGGGGTGTGGTGCTGTGGGTGGTTGGGCTGCTGCTGCTGCTGGGACGGGGGACGGGGGATGGTGGATGGGGGGCCCATGCCGAAGGTGGGGGTGTACATGTCGACCTGTGCTGTCTCAT